CTCCCTTTGGGCTTATGCTCATCACATATATCTATACAAAAAATTTCTCTAAGTACTCTATAAATAAAACAAAAAAATATTTTTTCTCTTTGTCTTGTAAATAGGACCAAATAAGTACTTTGTAATAGTATTGACATGTACAATATAAGAATAGAAAAGAATGGATCATGTAAATCATGAAAGTTCCCTTTTTTTGTGGTTAAAGAAATATAAACCCTGATATATATATATATATATATATATATATTCAACGCCCTCTAAGGGATTTGCCCAGAGCAAAACAGGTTCGGTTTAAAATTGTAAAGAGATCCAAAGTAAATATTACTCTTAGTTCTAATTATAAAATTTCAAAACGAGGTCTTAAAATTGGGCAGCGGAAACATGAGTCGCTGCGTAGTTCAAAACTTGTGAAAAAAGACCCATAAAAGTTTTTTTCTTGGATGTGCAGACCGTTTATAGAAGTTTGGTCCATAGGAAAACCAGACTACGATGTATATGAATTAAAACGGCATATTTCGGATACAGAAAGAATTGTAGTACTTGTGGAGTCATTATAGTTAAACGGTCCGTATTTTACTAGCTCTAATTCTTATTATAAAAGTTAGTTTAATTTTTATTTTGATTTTAAATTAAGACTCTAATTCACTTCATTCTTCATATTTATTCATTTTTTTTAAAGATAGTTTTTGTAATAGTGATAGTTCTAACTAATGTGCTTGATTAACAATGATATTTTTAGAAAAACAACACCTACTTATCATAAATAACTAATTTTCTTAATTTAATCAAATTATTCAACTAGTTCTTATATTAAAACGAGAAGTATTTTTTAAATATCCAGGTAGTTTATTTATACACGAAAGAGGCCCTCGTATTCAGAAATGCCGTCTGAGAGCAAGACCGTTTTTGGGTTCCGGGTGGCCTTCGGCCCACACAAACCTAAAAGAAGAAGGCTGTAAATATTGTGAGGCGCGTCATAATTTACAAGTCCTAATTTCCTTTTTATTTTTTGGGCCGTAGAGTCCGCAATTTGTAGTTTGCTTCTGGACAAGTGCATTATTCCATAATAAATAAATAAAAAACAGTGGCTCTCTGATAGTGATGGGCTCACCACATCCACTTCAATAACTTCCCTCCCCCCCTAACCCAAAAAAAAAGAGTATTTTTTGATATTTATTATTATTCGATAAATTATTGTTGACTTTTCTTCAACCTGCCAATGCCTCGTGGACTATGTGTTTTTGGAAGAAACATAATTTTTATATTATAGTATTGTTGACTTCTTCCGGCAACACGGAAAAGGATAAGCAACAACTCACGTTGAAATGAAAAAACATAATTTTTATTTAGATTATATAAATGAAAAAAACCGTGCTGATAGGAGGCGATTTTTGTTTATCCTGAAAATAATCGTGTTACACTTACTTGTATCAAAAGATCAGTTGAGTGTTAATTTTTATAAGATTAGGATAGGATAGAATATGACGTAACTGGAAGCTTAGTCACACTCACCCGAACTATCGACAAAAGCCGATTGACTTTTACCCCCCGAGAGCAAATTGACAAAACATAAGGGCACCATTAACCTCCCCCCCGGGGGGGGGGGGGGAGTTCTTCTTGGTGTACTACAAAATTTCTAACAGGGAAGGTTTATCCCAATTTTCCCATTTAAGACTAATTTAGTTCTGAAAGTTTTTAATTTTAACATCCCTTGAAAGATAGGAACATGAAATTTAAAACTATTAAATATAGAGAAAATAACCTAAAAAGAAGTTAAAAATTGCAAGCAATTCTGGCACCTAAGAAGTCAAAATTTCATAAGAGGAAGTTCTGTCTGATCTGATATTTTACAAATGTAGTTAAATGACAAAAATATCCTCGTATTAAAAAGTTTATTAATAAGTTGTGAATTGATAATCACAAGTATTAAACAGCAAATGATAAAAAATATATTAACAATAATAAAATATTTATTAATAAGTTGTAAATTGACAATAATAAATGTTGAATAACTCAAATACATTGATAATGACAAGTTTAATAGTTTTTTTTTTAAAAAATTGATATAAAGGCATTTTAATTATTTAATTATATTTACAAAATATTAGATCAGGCACCACCTCCTCTCTTAAAATTTTGACATCTTAGGCATCTAAATTAGAATATTGCAATTTCTATCCTCTTTTTGTGTTATTTTTCCCTTAAATATATACCAAACGGCAAACAATCGCAGTAGAGATCAGGTAAAACCCCAAATTTTTTGGAACCCTAAAGTTGATTTTTTTTTTTTCGGTGCAACGGAAAACGACAAGGTCGTAAAACCAAATCCAAAACCGCATTCAACACCGTCTCCTATTTGGCTTCTGCAGGTTCAATGCTCGAGGAAGGCAAGGAGAGCATCCTTTAATCCGTGTTCGCTGCTCTTCCTATTCTTTGGACTGCGATTAAGCTTCCCTCTTATGCGATAACTGTTTATAGTGCAAGAATCTCGCATTCAAAATCCTCCCAAACCTGCACCTAATCTTTAACATCAAAGATTTACAAGAATTCAGCCTGAAAGGATCAGTTTACCAGTCACGATTTTGGATTTGGGGGCAGAATAGGAGCCCAATTTTTCTCCTTTTCTGCCTACAATCCTAAGCCTATTCATGGCCACGGACGTAACGGCCGAATTCCAAAACCCTGATTTTCGGCCGGTTCCGCAGCCGCCAGATTTCCATCCGGAGCTCGTCGAGTCACCTCACGATGGGCTCCATTTTTGGCAGTTCATGATCGCTGGCTCCATTGCCGGCGTCGTCGAGCACGTGGCAATGTTCCCCGTCGACACCGTGAAGACCCATATGCAAGCTCTTGGGTCATGCCCCATTAAGTCCGTCAGCGTTCGCCAAGCCCTCCAGTCGATTTTGAAGTCTGAGGGTCCATCTGCACTATATCGAGGGATAGGCGCCATGGGTCTTGGTGCTGGACCAGCACACGCCGTGTATTTTTCCTTTTATGAGGTTTGTAAGAAGTATTTTTCTCATGGGGATCCCAAAAACTCCACTGCCCATGCGATTTCTGGTGTTTGTGCTACTGTTGCGAGCGATGCTGTGTTTACACCCATGGATATGGTGAAGCAGAGATTGCAATTGAGTAACAGTGGTTACAAGGGTGTTTGGGATTGTGTGAAGAGGGTTTTGAGCGAGGAGGGATTAGGGGCTTTTTATGCATCTTATAGGACTACAATTGTGATGAACGCCCCATTTACAGCAGTGCATTTTGCAACTTATGAGGCCGCAAAAAGAGGCCTTAAGGAGATTTCGCCTCAGAGTGCTGATGATGAACGTTTCGTTGTTCACGCAACTGCTGGAGCTGCAGCTGGTGCATTGGCTGCCGCTGTTACCACACCGCTTGATGTGGTCAAAACTCAGTTGCAGTGCCAGGTATAAATTTCTCTTAACCCTCATGCTTTATATTTGTTCCTAAAATATTCTGTTTTGCTTGATTGGACTTGTTACTTGCCTTTGTCAACCTAAGTTTGTGTTGGCTTATGCTCAAGATTTGAAAGCTCAATCTAGAATTTGTGCCTAGAGGGGAGAAAAAGAAGAAAATGGAGTATTTTATCAAACTGGAGAATGTTTTTGCAATCAACGCATGGGGGATTCTATGACTTGAGACTCAAACTATGGAACAAATTTCTGAAGTCGGTTCCAGATATTGTAGTCTCCCATGCTCTAAGGAATAACTATTGTAGTCTTGTACTCTTGTACATACATTATAACTTTAGACTCCTTTAATAAGGTTCTACTTCAGATAAAATTTGCTACTAATTGTGTGAGTGAGTGAGAGAGAGTAGGCAAGGTTGTATATAATTCTATCTAACAGGTCATGTTATCTTACATTATAATCAGTGAATATGTGGGTTACCCGGATTGGATTTGAGAAGGGAACATCTTGTTACCTTATATTTTGGTAATGTTGGTTCTACCAACAAAAAGCTTGCTGCCGTATCATAGTTTCTTTATGATTCTATTCAACACACCTAGGTTATAGCATGCCCTCTTTGCAGTTGTAAGAAGTGCTAATGAACAAGAAACTGAAAATCAAGCTGACGAACCAATTCTTTAGTTGAAGGGGAAATGATGCTGATTGCTGAATCGAAATGAAGCTGATGATGTTATCTCTTTTCTATGGAAATTCCTGCAAATACAGGGGCTGATAAGAGCTCTAAGCTATTTTCGTGTCATCTGCCCTCTTCCTTGAGGGGGATTCGAATGTTTATTAGGGGCCATACAGAAAAGGGTTCAGAATGAGATTGGGTTTATACAATTATGTCATGATTCCTCAACTAATTCTTTCATGAATTTGATCGTGCTGCAACTTTTTTGTTATAAATATTTGGTACTCCGGTTATAAAGATCGTAGTAAATGAAACTAGATTAAAGAGGCCGTTGTCTTACCTATTTTTCCAAGTCCTTGTCCTTTTTACTCTTGGTGGGCGTATGTTGACCTAAACTCGGCCATCAATGATGCAGGGTGTTTGCGGCTGTGATAGATTCAAGAGTGGTTCAATCGGGGATGTTATTAAAACTATAGTGAAAAAGGATGGGTACAGGGGGCTCATGCGAGGATGGATTCCTAGGATGCTATTCCATGCTCCTGCCGCTGCAATCTGCTGGTCCACATATGAAGCTGGAAAGGGCTTTTTCCAAGAGTTCAATCAAAGACAAGTGAAGTGATACTGTCAACTAAATAAAGCAGCTGAAGTAGATTTTTCATTGTTCAGCAACTGCCTTTGAGAGGAATATCTTGTAATATTTGTCATTTGTTTGCTTGTGCGGCAAGCATCAGATTTTTGAGGATAGATTCTATTCTATTTAACTTTACACGATCTATAAATTTTTGTAATATCATCATATAATTTTTATTGCTTTTTGTCACTTTTCATGTCTAGGTTTTTGTCACTTCATAATACGTGTACAATGCATGGGGAATAACTCATTGTTGCCAAAGTGTGAGCATGTCCTTAAATAAATTCTTATTATTCAGAGCTCCAAGAAATTCAAGTGTTCATGCGCAAGGTCTCAACAATTCAGGTCTTCCAAGGTCTCTTCTACTTTAGACTTAACCAAAAAAGAAAAAGAAAAAGGAAAAATCTGTGCTCCCGTGAGAGCAGCTCCTCCGCGTCCTCCTGGAGGACATCTAAAACCGTTGTAGGAGGAACGATCCATGTCATTCTCGTGCTTGCCTGATCCACACTGAGCTGTGCAGTGAAATGATCCTCGGGGGAGAACAGAAAATCTCATGAACTCACAACCTGCCCAACAATCACAGTGATATCATCTAGCTTTCCGCCTGTTGCAGTAAAATGATGCGGTCAGCTCAATGTAGGGAAAACTTTTTCTGCTTGCACTGTTCTTTTGGGGGGGGGGGTTGTCTGCTTGCACTAGTAATATTATTATAGCTATTATACCATACCTATAAGCTTCATTCCAAGAATCTTCTTCCAAAAGGGAACTTCAATTCCCTGCCAAGTGGTTATTATTAGCAAGACAAGAAAACAGTTCGTCAAAGAAAATTTTATGGCTGGTCCATACGTTTAAGAATACACAGCACATGGGAAAACGTATTCTGCATTTTTTGGTGGTAAGTGCTTCTCTTTCAAGAATGAGAAAGTCGCCTTCCACAACATAGAAAGGTTACCACAGAATTATCATTTTCGATGTTCCTTTCAATTGAAAATCTCCTCCAGGACAATATCAATATCCTTTATCGAACAAATTTTTTGAAGGCCCCTTTCCTATGATCAAGTTGTTTTCGTATGGCACATATGGAGCCCAAAATAAACATGAAGTTCTTTTCTTACCCTGGATCTGGCCTCTATTGAATAGGGAGAATCAAAATTCGAATCCTTCGCATGATTGCTTGCCAAGTTAGCTAATGCCTTTGCTAGCAACAAAATCAGTTTTTAGTCAGCAAAAGTCCAAGTGGTCAAGATGTCTATCTAATCAACGAGGGAAGACACTACCAGCTTCAGAAACATCAGTGTAACTAGCAATAATTGAGACCATTTCATGGTCAAAAACATTATCAAAAAGCCCATCGGATCCCATGATAATTGTATCCCTTTCCATCAGCTCTACCTTGCTCACCTGATGCATCAGTGTAGTAAACAATAAATAAAACCAAATTGTCTCTGCCGTGAAAAAAAAAAAAAAACATTTTCATTGACATTTGAGAGTGGCAATGTCTCTACCACTGCATCAAGGTATGTCTGGCCAGCCTTTTGAGAGCTCAATTGAAATGGACAGTCAAAGTAATGTTCTTGAGGAGAGGTGGCAAAGACTACGTCACCTGGGACAAGCACATTAAAAATGTTATCAACATCAAAGAGCGGAGGAGGATAAGGGGAAAGGGAAGATAAAGCAGTGCAAATTGCAGAAGACAATGAAGATATCAGGATTAGCAAATGGCAAATATAGCTTAGCTCTGGATCTTACCACAGCGAATAACTCTTAATCCACAATCGCCGACATTGGCAATCTTCAGAGTCCCATTCTTCTCCAGCATAGCAACAATGCTTCTCAGAGAACACATAGATGAGGTATATGGTGAGATCATTGAAAATGCGAGTTCATTTTAAAATTTTAAACTGCCACTTTTACCAAAGGAGGAAAAGCTTACACAGTAGCTGATCCTATAAAGGAAGTTGCAGCATGTGCTTTTCTTATGAGATTCTGAGGATCATAGTTCACCTGATGGTTCCATCAATAAGTGACATATTTTTAATTAATTGCACTACATGCATAAGATTTACCTTACTAAGATATAACAATTAATTTTCTCTCCTTTTTGAATGCACAAGTTTACTAGGAAAGCAATATAATAACTATGATGATCAATTTATGCATCCGGGTTATACAACCTCCTCATCCCCCACAAAACTGGAAGCATTAGCCAGCAATTCACGGGGGAATAGTGAAGGATCCACGTCCTCTTCAGCCCAACTGTAAACATAATAGGAAAGTACTATTATTTTCTGACTGAACCAAAAGGATTAACTGACATTACCATAAAGAAAATAAATTCCAATGCATTACAAGCAAATGAAATAGATATCAATCCATATTAAGATAATTCAGCAATTCGATGTAAGATATAATTTCTCCCGAATGCAACCGATATCTTTCCCGGTTTTATCAAAGTTTGAGACACTATTTCGGCTTTCCTAAGTTTAACGATGAATGATTTCAATTGAATAGAAGAAACTTGGAATATTCAAGTATCATACCCAGAGACGCCATCAGCAACAGCAATTACTCCCCCCTCATAGCTGCTTACAAGGAAAGCATCTTCCCCGCCTCTGTCAACCTTAAAAGTTAGAAAGACGATGGCTTGAGCAGATGGCATAAGTTCCAGAAATCAGAATAGATAAATTTAGGCGCTTAAGGACATCCAGTACAGGCACGAGACCAACATTAATCAGAATTATGGAGGAAAGAGGCATGCTAGTATTCACTACCTTCTTTGGATGCGGAATGAGGTATGTCCCAACAGAAAATGACACCTCTGACCTATAATTTCAGGAATAGGAATCAATTCTCTAGTAAAATCATACTCCTGGGGGACAACCTAAAAACGGATTCTCATTTACCGAGTTGGACGGAATTGGGAGGGAGAACAAGAAAGGACCATCTTCCTCTTCTTGTTAGTTTCATCTACGCGTGAACGGGTAGCAGAAAAGTAATGAATGGATGGTTGAATCTGAGACTGAGAAATTGAGGCCCTGAATATGGGAATTGCCATTTTCCCGCTTCACACCTTGCTCACCATCACCCCCCAGCTGTCTAGCTTAGCTTGAAAATCAACGTCTATCGATTTTTGTGGCGGAGATGAAAGTCTCACGGAAGGATATGAGCATATAAATATTTGTTGCCTCACCTCGTCAACAAGCACCAGTGGTCTAGTGGTAGAATAGTACCCTGCCACGGTACAGACCCGGGTTCGATTCCCGGCTGGTGCAGTTGTTTTTTTGGTTTCAATGTCATACTAGTATTGTCATAAAAAGTTTTTCATTATTTTTAATTGTCGAAAATTGCAGAACTTATCGTAGATCCTTCTTCGGTCAAAAAAAAATCCAAGATCCTTCGATTATGATCTGGCGTGAATTTACTGTTTAGAATTTTTCCCTGTCCGAAGTTTGCATCCGTTCGCTCAACAACAATGAATGCTAGCTCCATTTCTTCGACCGATTTTAACCAAAGTACGATTTCCTTATCCTCGTTTTCGCTTTCTTGTAATCGGAGCTCTCTGGATCTTCGATTGTTTGTGTATTTAGTCAGATTTTTTCATTTAGGCGACGCTAGTGACAGCGATGCGGACGCAAGTCGCGATGAAGTGCCGGAATACTACCAGCCGATCTCCAACGTCGGCGAAGACGAAGGTAGGGGCGGCAGTGACGTCAACTCGGACGAAGAACACAGCTATCATTTCCACCAGCTTCCGAACGGCTACTGCTCGTATGGAACGGAGAATGGGATGTCATCTCTGGTTCTAAACGACGACGTGGGCGTGGAGCAAATGAACGGCGAGGATGAGGAAGAGGAAAGGATGAGAGAGGCGTCGGAGCGGGCGATTCGGATGGCATTCAGAGAGGATGAAAACCGAAGGAATGCGCCGTTGTCGGTGGAGAACGCCACAAGAGTGAGGGAGGCGATGCGTGGTGTCTCGTTTGGTGGAATCGTTCCTGATTGGGCTGCTCATGTTCCCGAGGATCGCTGGATTGATCAGCTTCGCAGATTGAGGCAATTCCCTAACCCCGCTACAGAACTGAACAACTGATTATGGTTAATCATAAAATTCTCCATTGATTTCTGCTCTGAATTTTCATTTGTTTGTACGAATTCACTGGTTTGTTCGGAAGAATCTGCACTATTTAGATTTCTTTCTTTTCTTATCTCGTTTTAAATTTGCCTTTGATTGCATGTAGAGTTGAAAAAGTTGCAAATGGTTCATATCTCCTTGATATTTTGCTTTGGTCAAATTAAAGCTGAATAAGTAGCATATTTTGGTTTGCACACGGTTCTTTGAATTTAGGGAAATATATGAGAAATCGAGATGAAGATTGAAGCATGCAGCATGCTTTCTTTTGCTTGCAAGTTGTAACAAGAGAAGTCCTTCACTTGGTCCTTCAACATGACGTGTGATCATTAGACGCAGATCTTCTTGTTGGGGAAAATGCATTACGAGATTGTGATTCGTCATTACAGGAGAGGTTATCTTCTACAGATTGCATGCCTGGGACATTCGCCATACGATCACAACGGCAGAGGAAGGAGTTAAAGCTTAACAATTATACATAATGTATGGTATCTGTGATAATGTCCTATAGTTGTGCGTTTGTTTCAGTTCACAAAAGGGAAGGAAGGGGGGGGGGGGGAGTTAAGTGATAGGAATCGCAAAGCTCGGCGAATTTCAAACACATGACTCGTCAGTACATTCCTTGAAATATTTTAACAGAAGGTATTAGGGGTATTATAAGATGATATAAGCTAGAATTATTCCCGCCACAAGTGCAATAACTTATGTTTGGAACAAAGAGAGAAGCATGTTGCTGCCAATCCGAGAATGAAATTTTGGTTACAAAATTGACGTCTAACTGACAAGTTATAACTAATCTTTGGTCTCTGCCCTCGAGGAAACTTTCTCCCATGTTTACTGGATTTAGCACAAGCTGATGATCCCGTGAAAAAAATTAATTCACGTTTAACCATGTGTCCTTGCAAGCCACTGAAAGAGAAGCAAGACCTCACTGTCTTCTCAAGCGCCAATATTTTCAATGTCAGCACCTTTATCCAGTCTCTTGATAATCCCAGCAATAACCTACAAGTTAGCAGGAAAAATGAAGCCGTGAATAATACGAGATTCGGACAGAGAATGCTAAATCCAGGTGCTCAGCCTGCGATACATTATCATGCTAGTACTTGCTACCAAAGTTTCTTACCTTTCCCGGTCCCAATTCATAACTTTTCTTCAGCCCCTTGGTTAGAAGAGTCTTCACTGTTGTTTCCCACTGAACAGGGGAAGTAACCTGCGAAATGAATTCAGGGTGCACTTATTTCCATTTTCCAGTTCACGACCGACAGGCACAGGATATTGATAGAAGTGTTACCTGGCGTGCCAATATCTTCTTTATCGTGTCAGGATCCGCATGTGGCTGTGCATCAACATTGGAGATGACTGGAATTCTTGGGGTTCTAATCTCTGTAGCTGCCAATGCTGCTTCCAATCTTGACACAGCTGGTTCCATGAAACCAGTGTGAAAAGCACCAGCAACAGCAAGACGCACCTGCCAAAGTAAGGAAGTGGTGTTACTTCCGAGAGAGTAATTAGCGCAAGACAAGGCAGATAAGGGACAAAATTCATACTGTCATTCGAGCTTTGAAAGACTTTGCCTTTGCCTCCACTGTTTCTATTCCTTTTATGCCACCAGAGACAGCATAGTTTCCCTACCAGCATAGAAAATCAGTCAATATATGTTAGGTACTCATCATAAATCTTAACACCATAAATAATTAAATTAAGGAGGAGGATACGTATTAAACTTACAGTGCATAGGTAGTTTGCAATTTGAACCCTCTCAGCTTCAGGAACTTCCTGATTAGCTGCATCACACAATTGCTGAACCTTCTCCGAATCCAGTCCTACCACACTAACCATGGCCCCTTTAGCAGCATCAGCAGCTTCCTGTATGAAGGGAAAATATTAAGCACGGAAACAATGAATTACACACAAATTCATGCGAGTCAGATAATGTCTTAAACAAGAGGCAGAGGCTGCTCACCTGCATGGCTTCACCCCTCAATTTGACCAGCTTGAGCCCATCTTCAAAGCTTACAAATGAAACACAACATTGGAGTCAACAGCGCGTTAAAGAAATGCTGACCATCTCAAAAGATTTCAAACATAATCAGTTAAAAGACATATCAATCACACAATGCATATCAGTAAATCACACAGATAAGGACCAGAACGTAATTCTTCATCCTTCTTCAACAATATTGACGTTCAGAAGTATCTCATAGTTGGGATAACATACTCATGCATCTACCGAGTTTTTTCAAATAACAAAACTCTGAAAATCAAAATAAATAGGACCATCAATTTCATCACACAAGTGGCGTTGCCGAAAAGAAGGGCTTACAGAGGTCATACTTGTTTCTTTCATATCGTACAGCTTTTATGATGGATGAGATTGTATTAAGGAAAGTACTTAATTTGGAAACCTCACCTAAAGGCTCCACCAAATGCCAGAGCAGTATATTCTCCAAGGCTTAAACCACATGCAACATCAACTGAGTCAATAATCTGCTGGCCTCCATCACGTGTACGTAGTAGCTCCACTGCAGCTAGACTTGTGACATAAATAGCCGGCTGAGAAAGTAGAAAATCAGATGGTAAATGTTTAGTTATTGAAATTTGAAACAATCATTATAACCAACCATCACGGCATTCAGAACAAGTTGGCGTATTCATATTAACATAATGATAGACAAGCATCAGTAGTTTCGATTAACGTTTAGATCACTTCCATCCCCCAATCCCTTCTCAAAGCAAACAATAGAAGACTCTGAAATGTCCCATTTTGAATTACCATCACATAAGCTACTTTTAATTGGGTGGAACAATGAAACTTCTAAAAGCACAGCACATATGGCCTAGAGACATACATGATAAAATCCTTCTTAAAAAGCAGAGGCAGAATACCTGGCTGATAACTGTAGAATCTAACTTTTCTTTTGGTCCATTGATACAGATATCGAGAAGATCAAACCTGAATTCAAAAGATATGTTATTGTACTTACAATAGAGACCAAAACATCAACTTGACAAACTTTTGTGTATAACTACCCTAATATGTCATTTGCTTTCTTGTACAGTGATGCAGCAACAGGCACATTTTGAGCTTCTTTTCCCATTCCAACTGCTTGTGCACCCTGCATGGACATCAAAAGTAGATTTCCTTTAATTAGTATAACTGTGCAAATAGCATAAGGCAGTATTTAGCCTTCAGTCAATAGTACTTCTTACATTTCACATACAGAACAATTTTAATAGATGTCAATGAATCAAATACGCTGTCATCTCTGTTACACATGTTATTCATTTGAATATTTTAAAAAAAAATGATTGCGATTGCTAGGTGGGGCGATTCGCTAACCTGAATTACCCCATAGAATTCTAATGATATGCCCAGTAATGGATGAACTTCTCGTCATAACATAAAACACTACCTCTTAGTTTCAGCTGTGTCCAAAACCGAGCTCCAAATTCATTTAAACCGGCTACTGAAAAGTATATGGCTACATACTGATTTAGCCGTTTTTTTTAACTTCCTTGGTTGGTAGACCTTTCGAATGCGAATTTCGCCCAGATATAGACAGACAAAGCAAGAACATAGAAGTGCAGATTTCCCAGAATAAACACACAAGTTCACAACTTTTCTCTTCCAAAAGTAAAATCCCAACATTTTCAACAATGACATTCCTCAATTTTGATAAATCCAGCGACCAAGAGTTGTGTGAACTGTACCTGGCCAGGGAACAGAAAAGCGGTACTAGGCTTGTAGTCAGAGAACAAAGCATCGTCGACAGTCGCCTGAGATCCGACCGATACGCTCATGAAAACCCTAGATCGATCCGAGTGTTTAAGACTAAAACTTGAAACCCCATTTCGGAAGGAGAGGGAATTGGCGGGGAGTGAAGGTTGGGAGCGAGTGGGAGGGGAGTGGAGCTTCTTGAGGGAAATTGAGGGAAGAGTGAGGGAAGAAGTCATGGTGGAGAGTGATGGAGGGTGAGAAGGGTATCGAAGAATAAGGGAATGGGGAAGCAGAGTGTGCATTAGACCATTAGATGTCTGGGTGGGAGTTATATAGAGAGAATAGGAGTGAGGTTGAAGAAGGGGTTCTAGCCGAGGCGGAGCTTACAAAGGTAGTCGTTAGAGATGTCCACGAAACCGAAGAAACCGGCCAACTACCATCGGGCTTGATAAATCAATGATCCTGATTATTGTCACTATATATATACTTATCAGATGTGCATCAATCCTCCTTATTCGCAACTCATAATCCTAAGTAAGTGGAAAGTTAGATTTCGGGAGTGTTTGGGAAACCCAAAACCATGGTTTCAGAAGCACTTTTCCGCAAAACGAGATAATCTCCTCCACATATTTACTTCGTAATCCGTAAAAGCACTTCTGAAACCATGGTTTGGTTTCTATCCAAACACCCCCGAAGGCATGGAAACAACAAGCATCTTGGTGAATTATAGGAATTTCGTGTGTTTATGATTGTACAACTAATTACAGGTTTTTAATTTTCTTTAACAAGGATGTTCATCATATGTGATTTTTCTAAGAAAATTTAATCACGCGACATTGCGTTCTAAAAACCATTTTTTTATTATAATTTTACTGGAAGTGCATTTTTAAAATTTATTCATGTAACTGTGATGGCTTTTTTTCTCGTGAGAATGACGTTATGAATTGATAATACGACGGATAAGAATACAAAAAACTTTGTCGAGGATTTAAGCAAGCTCTACGATAATTGATCAAACTGAATTACGAGAATACAATTTTAGGTTGGAATGTAAGATTCAATAGTCACTTTTGACTACATGTCAAGAAACGCCAACATCATTAAAAAAAAGAAAGAAAAAGAAAAGCTAACTAATATGCGTATTCACTGGCTCACAGCAGTTATCTCCTAAATATTGAAGTTGTTTGCAGGGACATTCCATCCATGACACGTAGATCTTTTTTTTTTCCTTAAATTGAAAAAAACGTGTAGATCCTTTCCATTGCTTCTAACTATCTAATTTTGCACCTTTTCGAGGCCTTTTATTTTAAAAAAAATGATACAACCTTTTATTCTCAATATAAAAATTAGTTAGAAGATTTAATTTATTGTTAAATATAATATTTTAATCTATTTTGTCTCCTAAATTTATAATTTTTTCTTCACAAAATATCCTTATTTTTTTTATAGCAAAAAGTTTAAATGAGTTGGACTCACCAGGGCCAAGGCGGGTTTTCATTCAGTGCTCATCATAATGATGAGCATCATATGCTTATCACTATAATACAATCCAAACTATTCAAAATCTAATATGGATGATTTAGATTTAAAATTTTTAATATATAATCTTTCAATGATAAATTTATTTTTTTTAAGGATATGTTAGTTATGATATTATTTTTTTTAAAATCTGTATCTATAAAAATAAAATGTTGATTAAAATATATAAAAAAATTTAAATTCAATATAAACCATCTAAATCGATTTTGATGGTTCAAATTGCGATGAGACCATGCTCTAAATCGATTTTGATGGTTCAAATTGCGATGAGACCATGCATGGAATGTGCTCCCGGACCAAGACATACTTCTAGTCTTAGATAACACGTACAGAAATACTTACAAACAGCTCATTAACAAGATTCTTATATTGACAATGAGATTCAAACTTAAAACCTTATAAGTTATAAGCTGATTTTTTACCAACTGCACAGATTCTTGTTTGTCCACAATATCTCTCTATTGTAAAGATTCCCATCAAGAGTCAACTGTCCAATGCACATGATGAAAGTAAATAGTTTAAACACATATTTATTACAAATAACCAATTTCATTAATTTTTTTATTCACTCTAAATTACTTATCTAACTTTTATATCAAGTGTCGGAGTTGGTATTACTCGTATTTCTCATGTGTTTATGCGTGCGCATAATGCAGATCAACCGTAATTACGATCTTGATAGGCCATAACAGAATAAGCACTTTGAGATCGCATAACTAATTTTTCAGTTCATCGTGGTGCATTAGAAGAGATTACAGTTATCATGAGCTCACTTATGGCCAGTAATTTTAGCATACAAATGCTAAAATTCAACCAGAAAACTAGGGGAAAAAATATATACGAGTACAGATCAATGGTTTGAACCCTTTTTGGTATTAAAAAGATTGGAAACACCAGAGAACGATACATACAAAAACCCATTGAATTGCCAAAATTGGTGCGCTGTGCCAGTCATCACGAGTTCCAGAGAAGCAACGAATGACTGTGACTTGGCAAATCAACGGATGGTAAATTTGACATTATTGGATTGGACCTAGCTGGAGGCCTTTCCTTCCTGCAGATGCACAGTTAAGAAATAAGGAATCATGGTTGCAGCAATATTGTGTGGATGAGCAAGATATCACCACCACCATCATCATGACCATTACTGTTATTGGCAAGTTGAAATGCATCTGCATTAGAACGCTCCAGCAAGTTGCATGTACATATGTATTATTAGCATTAGTGTGTGACCAGTACATGCTCGGACAAGTTCCACTTTGAGAATGCTAAAGACTGCCAGACAAACGGCTTAGGAGCAACATGAGGACTGGGATTACGTTGTCCTTAAGGTAGAAGAAGATATTGTAGCAGCGTTACTTCTCATATTCCCAATTGATACTACGACAGAACAAACAATAGGCAAACCGGTTGAAATTCAATCTACCTGGTCGATAATTATTTGTCTCTAAATATATTCAACAACCTGAAGTTCGCTGTATGTGTCCCTTTTGCTCCTAATAACTCTTGCTTCATTGCCTCTAATTTCCAGAACCTGGGAAAAACAAATTCGTGCATGAATCCCATGAACCATTATACTAACTCAACAGAGAACTGAGAGAAATAGGCACAAAAAGATATCACTATGGCTCGAAAGCATGTGACATGATTAATCAGATTTAGATAGTACACATGCATTAAAGGAAATCACTTCCCATAAAGGATTCAATGCTTGCCTTGCATGAAATGTGCATGGTTGCATTTATCAAATATTACCCCCGGTCCTTAATATAAAACCTTATCTGACTTTTATTTTGGTCTTAAATATAAGACTCCAATCCACTTTGTCTCTTATATTTATCTATTTGTTTTTTCTAAGATAGTCCTTTTAATAATAATAGTGTTAACTAATAAATTTGATTGGAAAGGATATTTTAAGAAAGACAATATTTATTTATTACAAATAACTAACTTAACTTATTTCTTTAATCTACTCAAATTAGTCAACTAACTCTTATATTTAGGACTAAAGGTAATATAATATTAAATAAATAACAATACGGTGCTTAGCATCATTTTGTCACCCAGGTGAATACTTTAAGAGGCTCATAACGAAGAAACATCGTTCTATTTACTGGCCCATGGCTTATTTATACCTCTGGTCTCGAATTAAGAACTCCGCCGGACATTCCAACATCCACACGCCATATGCTACAATTGTATTTACTGCAGAAAGAAAAGACTTGAGTTCAGGGCATCAAAATATTCTGAAGCGCAATACTTAGACAGCCATCTAGTTACATATCAAGTTTGATACCAAATTATAACTCAACCCAAGATCTCCATTACTTGAGGCTATCTTGAACAAGGTCAAGAGTTATATTATTTCCTTACCAATTTACACCCATGGGTTGAGGAGTATGCCCAACAACCATGGCCCTAGCATCAACTGCTTGTAGTGTCTCTTCAAGAATGGAATATACCTGAAAATCATAATGTTCAGTGTCAAATTCCGAAGTCTTTGGAACCCTACGAATTTCATGAAGCCTCTGTGGCCCCTTACAAGCATGCATTGGAGGAGACAATGGATAATGGATCCATCATGTGCACATGTAACTCAAACAAATAAATATGAGAAACTTTCACTGCAAAATGAAGACAAAAGCAGTGGAGAAAGAATAAGCATCCTCGCACTGATCATAAAACTAGAGTTTGATGGGAAAAATAATGTGTTTCTACTTTCTACTAATCCCACTACTTAGGAGATTATATTTATTTGCTGCAAATTAAAACTAGCACATCAGAGTACTTGCCTGCTTCGTCTTATAGTCCACCAAGTCCATTGTATCTCTTGAATACAAACGATTCCAAACAACGCTGTCGTAGCCTCTAGTGGCTATGAAAGGGACTTTGGGATCACCATCGTTCTCACTCAGACCTCTCATCCAGTCGGACACTTCTTTATTCATGTTCTCCACTCCATAGTCAACTACAGACAAGTGAGGGGAGAAGAAAATTACAAAGACAAATTATCAAGTATTTCAAATTCAAAGGAGAGAGGTTTTGTTTACTTGAAACAGTGCTAGAAACCATGACAAAACAGTTGATAGCATAGACTTAGGACCAGGATAAGTCAAATTCGAACGTTAGAAGAATTTTTACCGTGGTGAGGAAGAAGGCCACCATGACAGAAGACCCAGTCATTGACCTTGAGTACAACAGGATGCCTTGCTAACTCGCACGCTAATGAGCCACCAGGCCTAAAAAGGATTGATCTGGCAATGATTCCTTTCTGCCTCTGTCCTAATTGTTTGAAAACTTTATCAGAAATCGACAACAAAATATCACATTTGAAGAAAATATAGTAGTGCTCCTATTCCAAATAGTAACTATTATGTGTCACTTTAAGAAGTAACAAATGATGTCTAAATGGTGCTAAGCGTATTTCTCAGAGTTCACTAACTTTTCTCTCCATTGCCCCTTACTCAGGAGTATATTTTCACGTGAAAATTACTCATAGTCCCAGGTAAGAAAATTAAATACAGAGAGGTCCCAAGAAATTCAATCTTTTTTGTTTTTACAAGTCTGACTTGTAAACATGAATTGTTAAATTTGACTAGTAAGTGTGCAAGTTTGACTTGTAAATATGAATTTTTTGGACTTCCCTGTATTTAATTTTTTTCCCCTAAGACCTATGGGTAATTTTCCCTATTTGCAATGAGTTAAAATTAGATTAGTCCATTGAAGAAAGTTACGATGATCTGGTTTAGTACAGGATATCTGTATGAAAAACGAATTCATCAAATGAAATAGATAATGTGAAATTCAAGTTCTCGTTCTTCAGTGGGCATGGTGTGAGGCTAGGTCCTCCCCATTTGCATGTCTCAATAACTGAAAAACAAAATAGAACACTATATACCTTCACTAGATTCCAGGGACCCCAAGAGTTCCTTGACATCCTCTGATCTACTTTCCAACTTTCAGAGACATCTACCCAACCAGCAAAGGTCTCTTCCCAGTCATTGTCTGAATCAGTCATGTATTCCAGAAAATCACTGCACTCATCAAATCCCCCAGATTCAACATATCTGAAATCCCCTTCCACATTCATAGTCTCATGGTTGCCATTAACCTAAATGAAGAAGATTAATCAATGGAAAATCGCATAAACAAAGATATATAACAGAAAAGAAAAATAATCCAAATTCTTTTAATCCATAAACACCCGGTATGCATTTTTCAATGAATCTGAAACACAACAAACCTGAAAGACAGCTCCACCTTTTGCTTTTGCTTGTTTGTCCAATGATCGTAGCAAAGACAAGATGGCAATTTCATCCTCACCTCGGTCTAGCACATCTCCAAGTTGAACCAACACCTAGTGAAGTGAAAAGAGAAATTGCCGTCTGTTAAACTCAAGTACAGTGCTAATCAGTTGATAGTTTTTCCTCAAGCATACAGAATCGAGGACAATGATGTTCCTTGCTGCCATGTGTACATGGTTCACAGCACAATTAAATTGATTTGGCCTTTAGGGGCCAAAAAAACACTTGGCCTTGTTTCAACAGTATCGTTGTTTATTCTAACCAAAACTTCGACATGTGCATTTTGAAAAACAAAGGAAGCATACAGTTTCTCCACCAGTCCACAAGTCTTGGCCGTCAGAGCTCAATACACCAGCCATCTCAAGTGCAGTTCTAGTTTGCCCGAGATCTCCATGTAGATCTCCAACTATCAAGGAAAACAAACCTCGATAAGACATATCAAACACAAATGAAATGTGACCAAGATCAAAAGTAGGTCAGATTATCAGAAAAGGACACGCTTGAAGACCATCATCATAGCAATGAACTAAATATATTCAAGAAAGTTCTCCATCACATGGAGCTGGAAAACCTAATTAAAATTTCAAAATCTAAGGCAATGAAATATCAAACAAATAAATAGTTACACATTTTGGGTACAAAAATCAGCTCAAACATCTAAGGCTACAGAGCGATGTGCTTGAAACTACAATAAGAAGATAGGAAACAAAGAAGTCGAAGCTAAGACAGACATTCACTTTTAAGACGCCAAGGAAACATCAGTAAATCAAACTCTACTTTGATCATAGTTATTTTTCAGGTGAGTTTACCAACATACTAATAAAGTATAATGCCATTGGGCCATATTCCATCACGGGGAAGAATGTGCCAAAATTGGAATATGCAAATTAATATTACTTGAAGCATAATAAGATCTCTGACACTGACTATGATAAGCGAAAATAGAAAGGGATAATACTCATATAAGGCTTTTCCAAAGTAACATAAGTACCGGATTTACACAATGCACGCCACAGCTGAACAATCAGGGAGATATTGACCCCATACTAAACAAAAGACAGATTCATACTGATATGCATATTTTTTATCAGACTCAGCTGGAACGGGAATCAAGACAACAAAGGATGACCAGGACCCACTTGGAAGACCGCGAGGCAAGACATGATTCAACGAAGAAACCAAACGAAACGAGTAAACGAACATGACTCGAGCATTGCCAAGCATATTGCTTATTGATCACGAAAGCAAAATAGTAGAAACAAGAAAAGTGAGAACAAACCGGCCACAATTCGGCGACCAGGAGCAGATACAAAAGTCGGGGGATTCCCTCTGACAACTATGGGTTTCAAGGCCCCTGCTGGGGTATAATTCTGGCCATCAAGAAGTAAAGAAGACGAGGAGGAGGAAGAAGTTTCAGTGAGTTTGCGAGGGTGAGAAGGTGGGGGAAGTGGTACGGAGTTTAGACAGAAGGAAGCCATGGGAGAGGCTTGGTTCCATTATTTCGAAGGCATAGAGAAAAAGGAGCGACCTTTTAGATGGCGAACAAAGTCCGTAAAATCGAAACTACTCCTCAGCCGAGCATTTGGGATCTTTTGTGTGCATATTACCCCATCCACGCTCGAATTATAGTTTTACACCCATACGCATATTTGATGCTTAAAAATTAAAATACGTATTTTTAAGAAAATCAAATATGCCATCCAAATATCGTCAACTTTGAACAAATATAAAACTAAAAAAAATTTAGCGGTTCAGCGATTGTGCCTGAAGTGGATGCAAAATTCTTACCATCTTATGAAAATACTACTTACTTTTTTCCAAGTCATAAACTTTGATGGGGTTGGGAACTGTGAAAACTGAAGGACTAGTCCAGGCTGGCGGGTTGTGCCGGGTATGGTCCAAAGAGACGACGGTGATTGGTTATTAGTGGGTAAGTCACTCTATGAAGATGGATATTAGATATGATTGTGATTTGGTGAGATTCCTGCATCCTGCTAGTGTCTCCAAGCCTTTCCCCATCTCTTCACCCCAAAAGTTAAATAAAAATTAACTAATTTAGTGATTAAAATATTTTTTAAAAATTTATTTGCAAATATTTAAATTATTAACTGTAAAACATTTCATAAAAAATAAACATATTACGGCATACCTACGGGTTCATAAATATAATCTGTGCATACATATAAAATGTTATATTTATTTGACTGCAAAATTTTATCAACCTGATTTAAACAAAATTGAAATCGCAGGCGAACACAATCTATCGCTTTTATATGGCTGTAAATTAAATTGGTACACATTAAAAGGAGGCATAAAATAAACTATAAAAAGAAGGCATAAAATAAACTTTAAGCAGTACAAAAGCTTATTCAGCGCATGTGAAGCGGAACACAATTAATTCCCCACTCCTCAAGTTAAGGACGTGAGCTTGGAAGATCAGAGCTTCAAAACTGGCCATGGGATCACTAACTGATTGATAGTACAAACCTTCGAACCATTTCACCAAATTATCCAAAGGAATTACCATTGTTATTCGGGTTCGCCTTCATGGCTTACCACTTCGCAACAAATCCCTTAGAAACATATTGATATTAGTTTCAGAGGAGCCACCATCTGCAATTGCAAGCTGACATATCTGCTGAATCTGTTTGGCTCTTTTCCTCAATTCTCTTCCTTCTTCACTGCCTAAATCCATGACCTTCTTCAAAAGCTCTGCAACTTCGTCTCTAGTCACCAAGACGTCTTCTTTAACCCCCTTCTTCACTTTCCATCCAATCTTCCAGTCCTCCACAATCAGCTTACTGTTCAGAGGCTGATCCATAATCAAAGGGAAAGCAAGAAAAGGAACACCGACGAAGGCACCTTCTCTTGTAGAATTCCACCCACAATGACTCCAGAACCCTCCTATCGCAGGATGCGACAGTACTCTCAATTGGTCGCACCATGGCAATACCAAACCCAGATCCCCACAAGTCTCATTCAACTTCAAACTCTCTTCTCGCGCTATCCACAGGAATCGAACCCCACTAGCTCGCAAACCAGCAACGATTTCTTCAAGCTGAGCCGTTGAGGCAGAGAGAAAGCTGCCCTGAGAGATGTACAGGACAGAACCAGAGGGTTGGCTGTCCAGCCACTTGATGTAGCTGTGGTCACTATCATGGTTGGCGATGCTTGAAGAGGGATTGTGTTTAAGAGGGAGATAAGGTATAACGGGGCCAATGGTGTAAATTGGGATCGAAGAAACTGCTTTTAGGGCATGGATGACCTGAGATTCAAGCTCGAGAATAGAAGGGAACAGCAGATACTGAGCTTTGAGCGCCCATTGAGCGACTTTATGAACCCAGTGCAACATTTTCCGGCTTTGCCAACTGCCATCATTGAGTGGAAAATCCGCCAAACGTGTTGAGGAAAGCCCTGGAATGTAATCCACACGTTCATCGCCATTTTCTGTTTAGAGCAGGCAAATAGTTAATTAATATTCTCCAAATGTGGACGTGGTCTCAAGGAAAGGGTGGCCTTTGGCGCTTTACAAAAGATAATATGAAACGAAATAATGTCGTAGTTCTGCCAGTTGCTGTGTCTAGCTCTGTTCCAGTCACTTAGCTTGCCAATTCGAATCAAAATACAATCTCGGTCTTTAATATGAGATTTTATTTAATTTTTATTTTAGTATTAAATATAAGACCTTAATCTACTTTGTTTCTTATATTTATATTTTTTTTTTAAAATAGCCTTTTTAGTTCTAGTCAATACACTTGATTAGTAAAGATATTTTAAGAAAAACAACACCTATTTAAAACAAATAACTAACTCAACTTACTTTTTTAATTTCCTCAAAGTAGTTAACTAGTTCTTATAATTAGGACCGAAAGTAATAATTTATCTAACTATCAGTATCGACTTACTCTTACACTGGCCATCATTTTCCAAATTCCATGTAACGTACGGGTCTGGTTTACTAAAATACTTGGAATGTGAGAACTCCAAGGGAGTCAAACCAATGTAAAATTTTAAGTAGGTCGACAATGTAATAAAAAGGCAGTGATACTCAGCAAGAATATAAGGGAAGAACAGATGAAGTGATTTTTTTAAAAAAAAAAATTAACACAAAGGAGGAAAATACATATTTAACCCTGAAAAACAGTTTGAATTTCACGTAGATGAGGTTTATGCGAGATCACGTAGAATAGGATTCTTACCCGACAAATTGACAGGGTAGTGTCCGTTTTGCTCGAAAAGACGATAATGGCAGATGACGGAGAAGAACGACGCCGACATGGGGAAAAAAGACGCTACTGGAATATTCCTGCGGATGCCGACGCCGACCACCCAGAACAAGTAGCTGTCGTGTACGATGCACGTCGGCGGTGGGTGGAGCCGATCCAGTAGGTGTTCAAACGGAGCCTCCATCTTGGTCATGACAGCGTCAAGGAAGGCGACCATGTCGTTTCCACGACCGCGCTCGGAGGGGATGACATTGGGTATGGTCCTGAGCCGGATGTTGCGGGGCATCGGGTCGGATCCAATGAAGCCGTGCCATTCTTCGGTGACGACGAAGGTGAAGAGGATGTGGCTGTTCTTGGACAAGAGGATGTTGCAGAGATGCATCAAGGGGTTGATGTGGCCTCGGCCTGGGTAGGGCATGACCACCACGTGGCCTTCCATGGGTGACGGAGGATCCATTGGAAGATCCGGATGAATAAAGCTGAAAGTGGAGTAGCAGCAGCGGGCGCCGTGAAAGAATCAAAGAAAGCAAAGCCAGGAAGGCTAAAAGCCCAGAAGAACCATCCCAAGAAAAATCCGAGGAGTGAAAAAGTAACACGGACTTTCGAGATGTTGAAAGATCGTTGGCGCAAAAGATTTCATTCTTTAGCCTTTGGCCGAGGACTCCCACGACTATAAAATTCATCGCTGAAAGTTACTGTGTACGCCCTTGTCACCGCAATTTTGATATACTCCTCCTGTCCTTAATATAAGACCCATTTAACTAATTTGATTAGATTAGGGAAGTTAGGTAAGTTAGTTAATTATAAGAAAAGTGACACATTTTTCCTAAAACACCATAATCATCTTTCTTATATCCCTCTCCCTCTCATTTGTTATGGTTAGATTATCCATATAATTTTAGAGAAAATTGATAAATATGAGAAATGAGTCTTATATTTAGAACCAAAACCACTCAAGAATTGAATCCTATATTAAGGACCGAGGAGTATATTACTACCTCTGCTGTATTTAACTTTTATTTTGATACTAAAAAGAGTGTTTGAGTAATCCATAATCATTTTTTAGAAAATTTTTTTATAAAACGAGATAAATTTCTTCACATATTTATTTCGTATACCGTAAAAGCACTTCTAAACCATGATTTTGTTTTTATCCAAACACCCCTTAAATATAAAACTCTAATCCACTTTGTCTCTCATATTTATGTATTTTTTCCTAAAGTACTCTTTTAACAATGATAATTCTAGTAAATACACTTGATTAGCAGAAATATTTTAGGAAAGATAATACTTATTTATTATAAATAACTAACTTAACTTTTTTTCTTAATCTCCTCAAATTAGTCAATTAACTTTTATAATTAAAATCAGAAGTAGTATATAATAGTAGTAAAAATTAATGTGTGAAGTGTGAACCATTCGAGTGGTGTCTTCCTGAAAGCATTGAAAATTAAAGATAGAAAGTAGGATTAGGATTAGGATTAAAAAAATTTAATAAAAGAGTACTCCCCCGATCCTTAATATAAGACCTAATTATTAAGTTAGTTTTGGTTCTAAATATAAGATCTATTTCTCATATTTATCAATTTTCTCTAAATTACTTATGGATACTCCCTCAACCATAATCAAGTAGAAGAGGGAGAGGGGTATTAAGAAAGATGATTATATGTTTTAGAAAAAATGTGTCACATTTCTTATAATTAACTAACTTACCTAACTTTCTTAATCTAATCAAATTATTTAAATGGGCCTTATATTAAGGACTGGAAAAAATTTAGTATAAGAGATTACTTATTACCTAAGATTAAACCTATGTACTTTTCCAGTTTTTAATATAAGACCCATTTAACTAATTTAATTAGATTAAGGAAGTTAGGTAAGTTAGTTAATTATAAGAAAAGTGACACATTTTTCCTAAAACACCATAATCATCTTTCTTAATATCTCATCTCTTTCTTCTACTTAATTATGATTGAGAGAATATCTATAGGAGTAATTTAGAAAAAAATTAAAATATAAAAATAAAAATCTTATATCTAGGATTAAAACTAACTCAAAAATTAAGTTTTATATCAAGAACCAGAAAGAGTTTATGAAATTAGAGAATACTAGAGAAGTGGTATTTAAATTTATTACTTGGGACAATGGTAAAGCTCTAATGGAAGTTGCGGTCCCGCTGGGCGCTTGAAAGGCACGTAAACCGACCTAAAAAGTAAAAACCCAATCAAGGACGCATTCCTTCTCATCTTTCAATCTCATGCGTGCTCAAATCAAATCCGTCATTCTCATCATCATCAATGTTTCCTCACCATCGTGGGTGGCAAGATGATGAGGCCCAACTAGAATTATTGCCTGCCGTTCAATGTGACCATATTCCATCAACGGCGTGCCGTTGGGAAATCCCAATAAACTTTTTTTGAGTTGGACAATTCCAGATTCAATGTCATGAACCACTGATTAATACCGTACATGGCATTTCTTGTGTTTGACTTTTAATGCAAGAATTTTAAATCAATACGTAGAATTTCCCAGCATATACCAAACACAAAGCCCTGTTCATCAGGACCCATCCCCACCGAAATAAGTTAAAATTATCTCGAAATATTCATAATCTCCCTAACAAAGGCATTGAAATCATTTTGAGCAGAGCCACCGTCTGCAATCGCACGGTGAAACATGCGCTGAAGCTCTTTGGCTCTTTTCCTCACGTCTCTTCCTTCCTCACTTTCCGCATTCATAAGCCTTTTCAGAAGCCCCGCAACTTCATCTTTTTTCACCACACTGTCTACTTTGACGTCGTCCTTCACCCTCCGCCCCACCTTCCACCACTCTACTATCATTGCACTGTCCAAGCCCTGGTCCATTATGATTGGCAACGTCAGAAACGGAACGCCCGCAAAAATCCCTTCTTTTGTCGAATTCCACCCACAGTGCGTCCAAAAGCCTCCTATTGCCGGATGAGTCAACACTTTCAACTGGTCACACCATTCCACAACCAACCCCTTGTCCCCACAAATCTCCTTCAACTTAGAAGCCTCTCTTCTTGCTACCCAGAGAAATCGCGCTCCACTTTCACGCAAACCAGAAGCAATCTCGTCAATTTGAGCCTTTGAAACGGAGAAGTGGCTCCCTTGTGAGATGTATAGAACAGAGTTGTTGGGTTGGTTGTCCAGCCACTGTAAGTAGCCATGGCTTGCGGTGGTGGTGTTGCTGTTGACGTTCAAATTGGTTTTATCTCCAGTACTGAAACAAGGTATGGCAGGGCCGATGGTGTAAATGGGCAAAGATAACTCTGATTTAAGGGCGTCAATGGCTTGAGGCTCAAGTTCATATATTGAAGCAAACGAGATATTGTGCTTTCGGGGTCCATAAAACACCTTTCCTTGTAAGATCCACAAGTCGCTGGGTGCGCGAGCTTTCGTCCTTGAGAGGAAAATCTGCCAAACGAGTAGGTGGAATTCCAGGAATATAATCCACTCGTTTGTCACCGTTTTCTGTTCCAAATTAGTTAAAGACAAATAGATGAATACGTGAAATTTAGTTTCCTATTGAAAGAAATAGGAAGAATTTGATATCTTGTCCTCACCCGACAAATGTAGTGGGTAATGAGAATTTTGCTCCAGGAGGTGGTGATGGTGAAGCACTGAGAAAACCGACGCTGACATGGTCCAAAACGACGCCAGAGTGATATTTCTTCTATTTCCGACGCCAACTACCCAGAACAAGAGAGTATCGTGCACGATGATCGTAGGCAGCGGCTCAAGCCGATCTAGAAGCTGCTCAAATGGGGCTTCCATGCTGGTCATAATAGCTTCCATGAAGCCGATTTGGTCGGCTCCGCGAACCAGCTCCGACGGAATCACATTTGGTATCGTGGCGAAGCGTATATTAGCAGGCGCAGCATTATCGGAGCGAATGAAACCAAGCCATTCCTCGGTGAGGACAAAGGTGACGAGGATACGAGTGTTGTTGGCGATCAGCAATTTGCAGAAGTTGAGCAAAGGGTTTATGTGGCCCCGAGCCGGATAGGGCATGGCAAGCACATGACAGGCGGCTTCCATTGAGGTTTGCTGCTCACTGGATCTAGTGTTCAGCTGCTGATGAAGAGAAGAGGGCGTGGAGGAGAAGGAAGGCGGATTCTTCAGAGTCTTTGAAATGAGAAATGACTGGATCCTATAAGAATAGTAATATGGCCAAGCACTATTGTGAGGTGGGGACGTAAGTTCCCCGTATTGCCAGTTTCCAAGCTCCAATTCGACCACGACGTGGATCGTTATTCCCCTTTAGGTCCTAAAGGGTCACTTTGCTCCTTGAAAATTGACGCTGGGCCTCGTTTGGGGGTGATTTTTAGTGCTGTTTTGATTAGGGCTACCCCAATTTAATCCACATGATTCTTAAAATCATATGAAAACCTTTTCAAGAAAACTCTTTTTGTGATTTTAAAATATTGTGGCCTTTTGTTTTTGAACATAATTTTTATAAAAATACCTGTAAGATGTAAAATTATTATTTGTGTTAAGGTAAATATATTCTTTTGAATGAAACTTTATATATATAAACGTACAATAACCAAGACCCGCAAGTTTAGAGACTACCCTTGCACTTCTCATCAGGGAGGTTGCAAGAACATTTCCAAAGGAGATGGGTTTTTTTTTTTTTTTGCTTTTTTGTTTTCTTTCTTGCAGTAAAGTTAGCGCGTGTGAGAGTGGTTAAAAGAAAAAGAAAAAAAGGAATATAGTAGATTATGCACTTCTCGTTTGACTGAGAAAACTACGTGGTGAAAAATAGACGGAAGGTTTAGATAAACGAGAGGAGACAACAATCTGGCGCAAACTCATAGTTAATCTTCTCTTATATTGTTCATTTTTTTGGTTAAAGGATCAACGAAATTTCTACGGTGTATTTATTTATTTTGTATTCTTAATTACCACGATTTTCAACTACATTAAGATTATGTAACGATGAATTCTGAATCCCGGTCAACAAAAAAAAAAAACAAAATTCTGAATCGATGAGTTAGAACAATATAACATATTAGCTCTTGTACGGCTTTTTACTGAACCTTCACTCATTTACGGATAACACACTTTTAATGTACTTTTTAGGCTATAATATTTCATTGATATTTGTATTCTTTGTTTATGGATAGAGTACATATGGATTAATAATAATGAGGAACATTTCCCCCAACTTTCTTATAATAAACCTAACTGCTTGGCGGCTCTTATTAATAATACTAAATTTATATGAATAGTAGCTAAAAACGCGATTGCATAAGAACGTCAATAAACAGGAGTTAAAAATGCAAATCTACATCCCAAATAAGTGATTATTTTTTCATACTAGACGAATGCATGAAGTCGTGGGGTACACAGTGGCAACCACATATAGCCAGGTCTCCTACTTCCACAGATCTACCTGGGCACTTAAAACATGTCTTCCACAAAAGCATCCATGTTCATGTCAGACGAACCAGCTTTGGCAATTGCTCTGCGAAACATCGCCTTCAGTTCTTTCGCCTTTTCTCTGATTTTCGTCCCTTCCTCATTCTCAACATCCATCACCACCTGAACTACTTTCAATATTTCTTCCTTCGTCACAAAGTCCTCTGATTTCTTACCACCCACCTTCCATCCATTCTTCCACACCTGTGCAATATGCCTGCAAGTCGAGAATTGATCCAGAAACAGAGGAAATCCCAGGATCGGCACGCCTGCAAAGCAAGCTTCCATCGTTGAATTCCATCCACAATGGCTCCAAAATCCCGCAATACTACTGTGGCACAACACCTTCAATTGGTCGCACCATGGAACCACCAGACCCTTATCCCCACATTTCTCTTTCAGCCACTCTGCGTCTGAACGACCCACCCACAGAAAACGAATCCCACTGGCTTTTAAAGCTGAAGCAAGTTCTTCCATCTGGGGCCGAGACATTGAAAGGAAACTACCCATAGAAATGTACAACACTGAAAAATTTGGCTGACAATCTAGCCACTTTAATATATGGTCAACGTTATTGGTGGAAGAATCATTTGGTGGTTCGAGTTCCATAAAAGGAATGGCAGGGCCTACGGGATAGACACGAAAGGGGACTATAGCTTTTAGGTAATTTATTTGTTCGGCCTCTAGCTCTTGGATCGTATTGAGGAGGAGACAATCAGTTTTGGCTAATCCTGAAATGCAATCCAGGGACATCTTCAAAAACCTGAAATCGCTTTCGTGGAGTAGCTTTCGTAGATCAGTGAGCTGTGAGGAAGGGATCCGCTGAATGTGCTCAGCTTGCTCATCTGTATCGATAACACGTCATGGATGAAGTCAATATGTAGCCAAAAATTCCTGAGCTACTGCTTAGCTAACAATTAAACGTCGTAGAATGCAGGGATTGGTGATGACAATAACGTTTCTTTTTTTCAAAATACTATAACTTATTAAGTTTAATGAAGCAAAGTGTCATGTAGCCATGCAGGATACATTACCCAAAAGATGAACCGATAAACAACGGTCAGGACCAGGGGCCAAGATATCGAGCTGACGGTACGATTCGAAGCACGACGCTGACATCGTCCATAACAGAGCCACCGGAATGTTCCTAAGGTTCGCCACAGCGGCTGGCCAGACCAAATTAGCATCACCGACGATAGCAGTAACCGGCGACTCAAGTTTATCTAGAAGCTGCTCGAATGCAGGTCTCATCTTCGTCGCAATGGCTTCAATGAAACCAGGAACGTCGTGGACCGTTTGGCCGTCCGAAGGAATGAGGTCGGGGATGGTGGCGACGCGAATAGTGTGGGGCTTGGGGTAAGCTTCGATGTAGCCGAGCCACTCTTCAGTGACAACGAAGGTGATAAAAACCTCATTGGGTCTTCTTGAAGCGAGAAATTTGCAGAGGTTCATCATGGGGTTGATTAGGCTTCTCGTGGGGAATGGCAGGGCCACCACATGCCCCTTCACGCATGGTGGAACTTCCATGGACGTATTCACAAAAGATACTGAAGCTTGGGTTTACTTAAATTTGCTGAAATTCCAGATCTAAGGCGAGATGAATACGGGCAAGAGAAGGCAGGGGTTGACCAGGAATATGGCGGTGCTGTTTCTGGGCTTGGCGTCAAGAAGAAACTTAGCTGTGTGTTTTTTTTTTTTTGTTCTAATCGAAGCTCCAGATATGGCCACGTCACCCCACGCTCGCCGTAAGAACAAGAGTTGAAAAATGAAGAGGCATAGGCGCGACTCCAAGTTAATGGTCCGCTCCTTTATTTTTCACTAATTTTTAGGCCAGGTATTCTTCATTATCAATTTGCATTCATTTACTTCAAAGATAGAGTCCATAAATCAATAAGCCTCCGTTTGAGAATTTCTTTGCGCTCTCTCTCCTGTGACTACTGGCTAGGTTTATACCAACATCAACATTAATAATGCCAACTTATTCCTGTCCATCATTTAGAACAAGTTACTTTCATCATCTTTCATCTTAACTAATAAAATTTTTTAAAAAAGATTAACTCCGTCTAAAAATTTAAAAATTTCCTACCTTATTCGTATTAAGTACATCTTCAAAAAAGAAATTAGTGTTTATCACTTTAATAAACACATTAAACTCATTATATCTGAAATGTCTATATCTCATTTGGAATAGTTCGGATTTAATTTTTTTATTTTTTATTAAAAATAATTATTTTAACGTGTATAGAATATAAAATAGAGATAATTTCTTGACTATCATTTTTTTAAAAAATAATTTTTCTATTTAAAAATAATTAATTAAATATTTTAAATTTGAATGATTTAAATCAAATATAAATGATCCAAATCTAATGAGTTTATAATGCTCGTAATCTGAAATTGGTTTCTAACGAAAGTGTTATACTCTCTGTGGTTTAAAATATAATCTAAATTTTGTTGGAGGGGCTTGATTTTTTTATAAGATAATATTCACTTTTGTTTAAATATTTAATGAGTTTTTCTTTTAATCTTACCTCTATAGATTCTTTCTTCTCTTTAATTTATTTATTACATTTCTTACTTATTTTTTTATTAATAATATGGGTGAACAAGCAACCCACAACCCGCAACCCTACCATCCTGCCCGCAACCCACAAGGATTGAGCCCATTTGAGCTTGTCCAAAAAATGAAATAAAAGGATAGGCTTAAATGAGCAAGGTTCAATATTAAATAGATGGGCTATGGACATAGATATGGGCTGCCTGTATCCTCCCATTTAGCATTTATTATTTAAAAAGAAGAAGAAGAAGAAGGGAGACATAGGGTAAAAAATGCCGTCATAGAGTATTGACTTTGATTAGTGAATGTTATCCTATTTTATGGTTTATTTTTTGAAATCTGAACTTTGAACTTTTAATTTTAAGAATCTAAGACCTTGGCTTGAAGTTTGATTGGTTAATGGTTATGATATTATTATTATATTATGTTATGATTGATGGTTTAATTAGTTATTTATTTACAGCTTGCTTGAGTTATTTCTTGTCTTTAAGCTGAAAATGTTTAGTAAGAATAAGAATATGAGATAATATTTTAATGTATTCAAATTTAAACAGGTTTTAAAATTCTTTTTCTTAAACGGATTCTCCAAAACTAGCAAAAACCCGCTCGTTTAAACCAGTCTATTTAACAACGGGTTTAAACAAGACAGCTGCGGGCATGGATTAACCTGTACCCATATAATCTTAAAACCAGCTGGCTACGAGTTAAGGGTCAGGCAACTTAACCCGTCGTTACTCTCTTTTAATTAATAAGTGCATATTTAAAAAAATATATAAATCTTACATATTTATTATTTTAAATTGATATTAACTAATTTTTTAATAAACGTAAATAGATAGAATTTATCTTATATTTTAAAGTGACTACTTTCTTGTGACAATCTTCTTTTAGCCAAACTGTCGATGTTGAATAGGGGATGAAATAAAAACAAATAAATGTGGCGTCTTATAAAAAGGCCAATAAAAGCTTGACCCAAACTAATGCATCCTGAGTTTCACAAGGAATATTTTTTAATATAATTTTTTTCAAATTCATTAAAATTCTTAATACCCATTATGGTAGAATATTCACATGACATTTTCTAAAAACAACAATAAAATCTCTCCTCTAAATGTTTTACATAAATAGGACCGGAAGTGGCACATGAATACTTACAAAAAGTGCAATTTCAAGAGAACTTAGACGATCAAGAGAAAAAGTATAAACCTCTATCCCAACCATGTATCTTGCCAGTGATTACTTTTTGCATACATGACATATCTATATATATATATATATAGATATGTATGAAGTCGTGGGCTAGCGGTGGTCGCATATATCTACGTCTCCTAATTTAATGTAAATTTGAACATCTTCTCCGTCTTACATTTTGTAATTTAAACCTGTCCTCATTCTTTTCCCCCGGTCCAATAAAAACTGAACCTGTCATCTAGACGACAAGATGTCAGGTTGACGCCAATTTGTAATTTGTAGAGTAATTAGTATGGCGTTTCCGCGATGTCGCTGTAGATCCGGATTCGAATTCGAGTTCCATGCATGGAGATCCACCCGCACGGTGTACTAGGCGTTAAAAATATCTTAGCTGTGTTTTCGATCGACGGTCCACATATGTACACGTCACCCCGTACAAACCGACCTGCTCTTTTTTTTTTTTAAACGAGAAACTGTACACTAAAAATAAAAAAACAAAACAACTGCGACCAAATTACCTAACACACCGTCAAACCCAACTGCTCTTCTGCATAGAAGTGCAGTTGGACCGAATAAAGCATCTGGTTTCGTTCTGTGTGTCTTTTCTGTGTTTTCCATACAAATTTGTTAGGTGAAAATAAAAAAAGAGACTATTTTATTTATTAAGGATTTTCACTAGGAGCTTATAAATACTGCTTACGTTCTGTAATATTTCTATTAATTATAAAAGTTTTTACTAAAGATAGTTTCAACGTGAATAATTAAATAAGATAATTTAGAGGTCGAACACATTAATTACAGATAATCAATTTAGCTAATTTTTTTTATCTCTTCAAATTATTAACTTGATTCTTAATAGAGAACCTAATTAATTAATTTGAAAAAATTAAAAAAATTAGTTAAATTAATTATTTGAAGTAAATATATATATTTTCTTAATATACCCTTACTAATCATATGTATTAATTAAAACTACCACTCAATAAAACATTTAATATGTGCAATTATAATAAGAATTATTTTGAAAAATAAATGAATATTAGAGACAAAATAAATTGAAATCTTATATTTAGGATCAAACTAGTTTTTATATTAATCATTAATCATAGTAGACACCATTAAGGATAAAGGATAAGAGGCAAGAGGTAGCATAATACAATTGTACCAACAAAAGGGTTAATCCTAGAGAAAATTAGACTTCTCACAATAGCTTTTTTTTTTACCAAGGGAACTTCTCACAATAGCTTGCTCTCCACTATTAATACTATTAATATTAGAATTAGCAGTACGAGTCCAAGAGAGAGGCGAAAATGCTCTCAACTGAGGGCGGCGAAAGAGGCGATCGGGGGGAGCTCACAACGGAGGAAGTGGATGCGCTCGATCGGAGCAAACGAAAGGTTCGAAGGGGGGATGGAACTTTTACTGGAGAGGTTTCGTTAAAGCCAAGAATGGAGAAGTGGATGGAGGATTTGGGGGAAAGTGGAGGCTCAGGTGTGAAGTCTTACCGTGATTCACTAATGAATCATGGGACGAATGGGTCGCAGTGGTGTTTGGATGAGCTCTCTGCAGTGGATACAGGATTTGAGTCTATGGAGGATACTGGGGGTGGATATCTTGTGGATCGTTCAGATCCTTTGTGCCCTAATATCATTTTGGAGAAACAGGAGAGAGAGCGACTGGCTCAGCCGTTTCAAGCGACACTAATCGTGAAGCTGCTTGGTAAATCGGTTAGTCTCCGAAGCTTGGGGCCAAGGATTGTGCAAATGTGGGGCAAGGCAGGGAAGGTGGATGTAGTCGACATTGATATGGACTATTTTTTGGTTGAGTTCCAGAGCAAGGAAGACTACGAGCTGGCATTAACTGGTGGTCCGTGGATCGTGATGGACTCATACCTAGTGGTCATGCGATGGAAACCTGCTTTTAATCCGCTGTCTGAAGTGATCGACAAGGTTGCAGTATGGGTAAGATTGCCAGTTATTTCTATAGACCTATATGATAAGAAAATTCTTTATGCTATTGGTAGCGAGATTGGGAGAGTTATAAAGGTTGATGGACCGACGGCAAGGAGGAAGAGAGGCCGCTTTGCGCGTGTCTGTGTTGAGGTGGATTTAAAGAAACCGCTTCTGCCTCATTATGCTATTGATGGGAGGTGCTATCCAATTGAGTACGAAAGCATGAACCTACTGTGCTTAGCGTGTGGAACGTATGGGCATGTGAGGGAGGACTGCAAGAAGGAGGTGGAACAGGGGCAGGAAAAGGAGACAAGCAGTGAAGTAGGAGGGGATACTATGATGAGAAATGGGAACAATGTGGCTAAGGAGTCAGAGGATAATAACGGAGGGGGACTTTGGAGAGTGGTACAGAGGAATAGGCGAGGTAGGAGGCCTAGGAGTATGACAGACACGGTTGGCGCTCCATCACGTTTTGAAATTCTACGACAAAACGGGGTGGAGGTAGAACAGAGGGAGAGGGAGATGCAGAATGTGAGGGGTGGAAGTAATACAGGTACTGGAGGCATGGAGGAAGGTAGAAGGACTGAAAAAAGAACGATAGGGAAGAAGGCTTTGAAGGATATTACTAGCGAGCGCATGGTGAGGGCTGAAGCAAGTTCTTACGGGAAGAGCAAAACAGAGTTTAGGAAGGTAAACAAAATGCAAGATAGGAGCGAAGGAGGGGATTTCTTTGCGGCTCAGAGAAGAGTAGGTGAGGAGATGAGACTTCAGAAAGATTGCATGGAGACTGACGAAGTGGTGGAGGTACATAAAGAATGGGGAGTGGAAGAGGAGAACGCAGGGGGTCAGATTGTGCTTTCTAGAGGGCGCAATGGGTGTGAGGGACTGATGAATCAATTTGACCCTGATGGGGATGGAGAGCAGAGGAGGAACTGGAGGGATATAGTAGAAAATGAGATGCAATCAGTAAATGACATGGGAGTACGACTGGATGGCCAGGGAGGCATAGTGGGGAAGGACCTGGCTGCTAGTTATTAATGTCCTTACTGATGTGGAATTGTAGAGGCGCTGCAAGCAAGCAGTTTGCCTTAGCTTGTAAAAATATGTTAAGGATGAGGAAGCCGAGTATTACTATTCTGCTTGAACCCAGAATAAGTGGGGGGAGGGCAGATAAGGTAATAAAGGAACTTGGGTTTAAGTATTCAGTTAAGGTGGAAGCAAGAGGATTTGCAGGAGGCATTTGGGTGTGCTGGAAAGATGAGAAGTGGTCAGTGCGTGTCATTGAAAAAACTGACCAATTTATTCATGCGAGATTCAATGATGGGAATGGGGCCTGGACATGCACAGCTGTATATGCCAACCCTCAGGGGAGTAACCGGGATGCGTTGTGGGGGAGGCTGGTACGATTTTCAAGAGAAGTCAGGGAGCCTTGGCTGCTGTGCGGAGATTTTAATGAGATAGCTTCCCCGCTGGAGCAAAAAGGTGGTGCAGAGGCTAATATGACAAGATGCAATACCTTTAGGAACTGGATACAAGATTGTGGGTTGATTGACATTGAAACTGAGGGGCCCCTTTATACATGGAGGGGTCCTAAGTGGCAAGGAAGAGATAGAGTTTTTAAGAGGCTTGACAGGGGATTGTGTAATATAGCGTGGCAGGAGCGGTTTCCGAGTATGGCAGCAAGAGTTCTAGCTCGAGTGCACTCTGATCATCACCCGATCCTGTTTGAACTGAATGTGTCGTCTAATCTCCCCTATAGAAGGCCATTCAGATTTGAGGCAATGTGGCTAACCCATCATGGATTCAAGGAATTTTTGAGGGAGGAATGGAGGGAGGAGACAGAAGTGCAGGAAAATTTGGAGACCATTAAGAAGCCTCTGCAGTGGTGGAATAGGGAGGTCTTTGGGCACATTGCTTGGAGGATAAAAACTCTGACAGCAAGAATAGAGGGGATACAACGAAAGTTGAATGGAGGTAAGAACAAGTTCCTGGAAAGTTTGGAATGTGATCTTGCTAGTGAGCTACTGGAGGTTTTGAGGCAGGAGGAGCTCCATTGGTACCAAAAGTCGCGAGGTGAATGGTTAAAGAATGGTGATCGTAATACGAGGTATTACCATTTAAAAACCATGAACAGAAGGCGTAGGGGCAAGGTTCATATGCTTAAGAATGAGGAGGGGTTATGGATTGAAGAGGAAGGTGAGCTAGTTAAGATTGGTAGGGACTTCTATACTTCACTGTTTACGGAGGAGGATAAAAGGAGAATATGGCACAGAACCGATCACATATGGGCTGAACTAGGCAGTGAGGAGGTAAGAAGATTGGGCAGCGAGATAACAGGGGATGAAGTGACGCAAGCGATGTTTGGCATTGGGGCGTTCAAGGCGCCTGGTGAGGATGGATTCCCAGCGGTCTTCTTCCATAAAAACTGGGACATTGTGGGGGAAGATGTAGTTAAACTAGTTAAAAAGCTCTGGCAGGAACCGAGAAGAATTGGAGAGGTGAACAACACATTGATTGTGCTGATCCCCAAGAGTGACAGAGTAGAAACAGTGGCAAACCTTCGTCCCATTTCCTTATGCAACGTGGTCTATAAAGTACTCTCAAAGGTGTTGGTGAACCGGTTGAAGCCTTATTTGTCAAGATTCATTTCTCCATTCCAAACAAGTTTTGTGCCAGGGAGATGTATTCAGGAAAGCATTGTGGTAGCTAGGGAAGTTTCACATTTTATGGGAAGATTGAGTGGTGGTAAGAAGTATATGGCGATAAAGATTGACCTTGAAAAAGCATATGATAGGATGAGCTGGGGCTTTTTGAGAAAAGTATTGGAAGAAATGGGGTTGCCAAGTAAATTTGTGGAAGTGGCGGCTGGCTGTTTCGAATCGGCAACTATGAAAATCTTATGGAATGGGGTTGCTTCTGAGGCGTTGGTGCCTTCTAGAGGGGTGAGGCAGGGGGATCCCCTTTCACCGTATTTGTTTGTATTAGGAATGGAGAAATTAACTCATCTAATTCTGGATGAGGTGCAGAAAGGCAGGTGGAAACCTCTGAGGATGGGGAGGAATGGGGTACCGATCTCACACCTTCTATTTGCTGATGACCTTCTACTGCTATGTGAAGCCTCTGAACAGCAGCTTGGGGTGGTTATGAAGTGTCTGGAGGAATTCGGAAGAATGTCAGGGCAGAAGATAAATGCTCAAAAACAATGATCATGTTCTCTAAAAATGTGAAGGAAGATGAGCGAAAGAAGCTTGGGGAGCAATGTGGGTTTCAAGAGATGGAGGAGCTGGGAAGATACTTGGGATCCCATATTCACCAGGGGCGTAGGACAAGAAGCAAATTTCAGTTCCTTATAGATAAAGTGCAAAAGAAGTTAAGTGGATGGAAAGCAAATAGCTTGTCATTTGCAGGAAGACTTACCTTAGTGCAATCGGTCACCCAACAAATTCCAGTTTTCAGCATGCTTCATGAGGAAATCCCGGTTGGGGTATGTAAGGAGTTGGAGAAGATTCAGAGGCAGTTTGTGTGGGGAGATATGGGAGAAAAGAGGAAGATGCATACGGTGAATTGGGGAACCTTTTGTCGGCCGAAGAATGAAGGAGGGTTTGGGTTGAAAGATTTACGAAAGATGAATGAAGCGTTACTTTGTAAGACTGGGTGGGACCTTATAGCTAATCCTGAGAAATTAAATGCCAAGGTTTTGTATAGTAGGTATGGCAGAAATGCGAATCTAACTGTGGAATGCATTGTCAAGAGTACAGATTCTGCTTTGTGGAAGAAGTTGGGGTGCTCTGGCCTGAGATAATTAAAAATGTAGGGTGGGAGGTGTGTGATGGAAGGAAAACTCGTTTTTGGGTTGACAAGTGGGTGGATAAAGAGGCTCCTTTGTCTGATCGGTGTACCAGTAGACCACCACAAGAAGATCTGGAGATGTGTGTAATGACTTTGTGATGAATGGTAACTGGAATAAAGAACTATTTGAGAGGCTCCTACCTACAGATGTGGTGAGCAGAATTCTAGCTATATTACCCCCATGTGCGGAGGATGGAGGGGACAAGGTAGTATGGATGGGAGGGAAAGGAAAGCAGTTCAGTGTAGCAGAAATGTATAAGCAGTTATGTGGACATGAGAAGGGTACTGAGGATGTTGCATGGCGGTTGATTTGGAGTTGGGAGGGACCGAGAAGAATCCAAATTTTTATATGGATGGCTACATTGGACGGTTTGGTAACATCTGAGAGGAGAAACAAAGCTGGGATTGGATCTGCTCTGTGCTGCAGGTGTGGAAGGGAAAGAGAGACAGTTTTGCATGCTTTAAGGGATTGTGAGATCTCTAAAGCTATTTGGAAGCAATTGAAAGTAGGTAACTTTGTCGATGACTTCTTTATTTTACAGCATAAAGACTGGTTTGTAAATAACCTAAAGATCAAAAGACATGTGAATAACTTGGGGGAATGGTGTCTCGTTTTTGGAATCACCTGCTGGTTTCTTTGGAATTGGAGAAATCAGGCCCTTTTCTCTGAAGAGTTTGATGATAGGAATATCAGTATTAATACTATACGGAGGTATGTGCAGCAAGTGGAGGATAGTCGCAACGAATTCATGGATGGGAATAGGAAAGTATGGAGAATGTATGGGTGGAAGCCACCCGAAAATGGGTGGGTGAAGCTTAATATAGATGGTGCTGCAAAGGGACAGACTGGGGGAGCTGGTTGCGGTGGCCTGATTAGGAATGGGAATGGTGACTGGCTTGGAGGCTTTGTGAATAACATAGGAATCTGTCCTGCGATGAGAGCAGAGTTTTGGGGTGTGTGGTCTGGATTTAAGCTACTGAAGGAGAGTGGGTATAGAAGAGTAATTGTTGAATCAGACTCTCGCACTGTGGTAGCAGTACTGAATGAATTTCTTGTACAGAAAAGGACTGATGACAGATTTATGATACAGATTAGTAGGTTGATATCTGATAATTGGGAAGTTAAGGTTGTGCATACGTATAGGGAGGGGAATTTTTGCGCAGATTGGTTAGCCAACTGGAGTCTGTCAAAGAATCCTGGTCTGCAGCTGTTACGTGAGCCACCAACTGGTTTACTTGACTTGCTGTATAGAGATGCTATGGGTGATTGCCATCCAAGATTAGTTACTGATAGTGTTTGATTTTTGGGCGGTTGCCCCATTGTACACCAAAAAAAAAAAAAAATACTATTAATATTAATTAATATAATATAATATATAATTTTCCTAAATCACGTCTTTGACGAAAACGTCCATGTTGATGTCGGACGAACCTCCCTTGGCAATTGCTCTGCGAAACAGCGCCTTCACTTCTCTTGCTTTCTCCCTAATCTTCTTCCCTTCCTCATTCTCAACGTCCATCAACATCTTGAGCACTTTCAGTATTTCTTCTTTCGTCACAAAGTCCTCTGATCTCTCACCACCCACCTTCCATCCATTCTTCCACACTTCCGCAATATGCCTGCAATTCGAGAACTGATCCAGAAACATAGGAAATCCCAGGATTGGCACACCTGCGAAGCATGCTTCCAGAGTTGAATTCCATCCACAATGGCTCCAGAATCCGGCAATGGAAGCATGGCACAACACCTTCAATTGGTCACACCATGACACCACCACACCCTTATCCCCACATTTCTCTTGCAGCCATTTTGCGTCTGAACGACCCGCCCACAGAAAACGAATCCCGCTGGTTTTCAGAGCTGAAGCAACTTCTTCCATCTGGGGCTGAGACATTGAAATGAAACTACCCATAGAGATGTACAGTACTGACAAACTTGGCTGACAATCTAGCCACTTTAATATATGGTCAACGTTATTGGTCGTCGTCGATGAAGTATTTGGTGGTTGAAGTTCCATAAAAGGTATGGCAGGGCCTATGGGATAGACAGGAAAGGGGAATATAGCTTTTAGATGATTTATTTGTTCCGCTTCTAATTCTTGGATCGTATTGAGAAGGAGACAATCAGTTTTCGCTAATCCGGGAATGCAATCCAGCGACATCTCCAAAAACCTGAGATCGCTTTCGCCGAGTAGCTTCCGTAGATCAGTGAGCTGCGACGAAGAGATGCGCTGAACATGCTCACGTTGCTCATCTGCATCACAGGCTCGTTATATGAAGTCGAAAGCAAAAGAAGTCCTGAACTACGTACTGTTTAGGTAAACAATGAAACTAGGGTGGTATAGGATACATTACCCAAAAGATCAACCGACAAACGCCTGTCAGGGCCAGTAGCCAAGATATCCAGCTGACGGAACATTTCAAAGAACGACGCCGGCATAGTCCATAACAGAGCCACCGGAATATTCCTAGAGTTTGCTACAGCAGCTGGCCACGGCAATTCAGCATCAGAGACGATAGCAGTAACAGGCGGCTCGAGTTGATCGAGAAGCTGCTCGAATGCAGTTCTCATCTTGGTCGCGACAGCTTCGGTGAATCCAGGAACATCGTCGAGCATCTGGCCGTCCAAAGGGATGACGTTGGGGATGGTGGCGTAGCGGATGGTGTGCGGCTTGGAGTAAGATTGGATGAAGCCGAGCCACTCTTGGGTGACGACGAAGGTGATGAGAACCTCATTGTTTCTTCTTGAAGCTATAAATTTGCAGAGGTTCATCATGGGGTTGACTTGCCCTCTGGTCGGGAAAGGCAGAGCCACCACATGCCCCTTCACACGCGGCGGACCTTCCATGGACATACTCCCAGCAACTAATGAAGCTGTGGTTTACTCAATTTGTTGAGATCTAGAACGAATATAATACAGAAAATAGCGGAGAAAGAAAACAGAGGTTTGCCCACGGATTTGGCTTTTCCACCGTATCAAAGGCGATTGGAGATATGTGAACCACATTTCGGGATCAAATAAATCTGATCGGTCTATTTCTTTCGACATCAGCCATCCGTTCCGGCTCATTGTAACGCTAGCTCAGTAACTAATTCTTTTCGCCACATGTTTTCAATGAGCCTTTTAATAGTGGCATTGGAAAAAAAAACTAATTTAACTAATTTTTTTAATTTATTCAAATCAATCAATTAGTTTTTATATTAAGCACCGGGATAATATTTAATATAAATCTTTTACAAGATTAGTAAATTATTTATTAGTTTTTTCAAATATGTCATTCGTGACTATATCTTTTTTAATAAGAATTTTTAAGTAATTTTAACTATATATTTTTACGTTTATGTGATTCTATTAGACAAGATCTTGCCATAACAGCGAATGAAATGCTTTGTAATGATTGATTTGATTTATATTTGTTCAATTTTTTGTTTATTCAATTTATTATCATTTTTTCCTTTGGACCAAGAAAAATTGAACCTGCCATCTTACAATATAACATCAGGATATCAAAACTCATTACAAAATGACGGATTAAATTGGGCTTAAACTTTAACCTCAACTCACACGAAAGCTTTTTTAAAAAATAAAATTTTCTGACAAAAATAATGTGAAATAATGTTTTGTCTCTGACAAAAATAAACTCCTCAAGATATATATCTTTATAAATGCATCAGCCCAGTGAAATTCAAGTAATTAATCTTTTTCCTTTTTAATTCTATCTTGATTTGACTTGAATAGAAGACTAGGGCCAGAGTCTCCGGGCGTAGCGTGCGTTGTCTTTCCCTTTTTTTTTCTTTCTTTTTTTTAAAAACCAGGGTGTGTGAGTGGTAACGATAGAAAAACATTTACTTCAAATTTTTTATATCTCAACTTTTTTAATCATACGATCATGTATTTTTTTTCATATAAATTTATAGTTAAATATTAATATTTTAAAAATAAAACACATAGTTATGTTTGATTAAAAAAATTTGATATAATAAATATAAAAAAATTGATGTAAACATTATCCGTTAAAATAAAGGTGAACATTAGATCAAAGAGAGACAATAATGCTGAGCAAACTCGTGGTTGGTCTATATCATATCGTTCATTTGTTTCCTTAAAGGTTCAAAAAATATTTTATTATGTATTTATTTATTTCCTAGGCTTACCACCATTTTTGACGATGTAATAGTAGATTATTGTACAATTTATGTGAGTCTAGGATATAATAGTCCCCCGTATCTATAATATAAGATATTTTTAACTGATTTATGTGTCAATAAAAATAATTAAAAATATTAAATTTATCATTAGACTTAAGTAATTCCCAATAATACCCTTATTATTAACCATACTAAATTCCAATTTTTTCCCCAAATTTCTGCTTTCTCTCACTATCCTTATCACGTCTTATGCTGCTTCTCATTGAAACCCCCCCAATACAAGGATAACAAGTTTTTATGCACTTTTTTGGTTATAATTATAATAATAATAATAATTATTATTATTATTATTTTGTGTGCGTACTGTGCGTTATCTTTCCCATTAACAAAAAAAAAAAGGAAAAGTGGAAAACATTTACTTCAAATTTTTTACATCTCAACTTTTTTAATCATATGATCATGTATTTTTTTCATATAAATTTATAGTTAAATATTAATATTTTAAAAATAAAACATATAGTTATGTTTGATTAAGAAAATTTGATATAGTGAATATAAAAAAAATTGATGTAAATATTATCCGTAAAAATAAAGGTGAACATTTAGATCAAAGAGAGACAATAATGCTGAGCAAACTCGTAGGCAGTTTATATTATATCGTTCATTTGTTTCCTTGGAGGTTCAAAAAATATTTTATTATGTATTTATTTATTTTCTAGTCTTACCGCCATTTTTGACTATGCAATAATATAATACTGTACAATTTATGTGAGTCTAGGATATAATAGTCCCTCATATCTATAATATAAGATATTTTTAACTGATTTATATGTGTCAAAAAAATAATTAAAAATATTAAATTTATCATAAAACTTAACTAATTCCCAATAATACCCTTATTATTAACCATAATAAATTCCATTTTTTTTTCCAAAGTTCTACTTTCTCTCACTATCCTTATTACGCCTTATGCTGCTTCTCATTGAATCCCCACTCATACAAGGATAACAAATTTTTATGCACTTTTTAGGTTATAATTTTTCTTTTTATGTCATTATTATTTTGTGTTCTACTATCGATGGAGTTCGTAAATTAATAAACCTCCGCGGGAATATTTCTCTGCGCTGTTTTTACGCGGCTAATCAGCATTAATATTGCCAATTTATATGAATACTCACTAAAAGCACACTCGCGTAAGAACTTGTTTTAACAAGAGATCAAAATACAAATCTACATCCCAGTCGTGTGTGCGTGTGTTTTACTGGGGCAAATGCATGAACCTGTGGGATATATGTAGTGGCAGTGGCAACTATCCAGGCCTTATTCCTCAGATCTCCTTCAAGTATTGGACACCTAAAACATGTCTCTCACAAAGGCATCCATGTTCATGTCAGACGAACCTGCTTTGGCAATCGCTCCGCGAAATAACACCTTTAGTTCTTTTGCTTTCTCTCTGATCTTCTTCCATTCCTCGTTCTCAACATCCACCACCATCTTAACCTCTTTCAGTATTTCTTCTTTCCTTACCAAATCCTCTGATCTCTCGCCACCCGCCTTCCTCCCATTCTTCCACACTTTTGCAATATGCCTGCAGTTCGAAAACTGATCCAGAAACACAGGAAATCCTAGTATTGGCACACCGGCAAAGCATGCTTCCAGAGTTGAATTCCACCCGCAATGGCTCCAGAATCCGGCAATGGCAGCATGGCACAACACCCTTAACTGGTCACACCATGGCACCACCAGACCATTATCCCCGCATTTCTCTTTCAGCCACCCTGCATCTGAACGACCCGCCCACAGAAAACGAATCTCACTGGTTTTCAGAGCCGAAGCAAGCTCTTCCATCTGCGGACGAGACATGGAAAACGAACTACCCATAGAAATGTACAACACCGACAAATTTGGCTGGGAATCTAGCCACTTTAATATATGGTCAACGGTAATGGTCGATGAATCGAGTTCCATAAAAGGTATGGCAGGGCCTATGGGATAGACGCCAAAGGGGAGTATAGCTTTTAGATAATTTATTTGTTCGGCCTCTAGCTCTTGGATCGTATTCAGGAGGAGATAATCAGTTTTGGCTAATCTGGGGATGCAATTCAGGGCAATCTTCAAAAACCTGAGATCGCTTTCACGAAGCAGCTTTTGCAGATCGGTGAGCTGTGACGAACAGAGCTGCGCAATGCGCTCAGCTTGCTCATCTGTATCATTATCAAAAAGTCAATAGATTTTAGCCAGAAATTCCTAAACAACTTTTCAGGTGAAAAACATAAAGCTTTTTCTTTTTTGAAAAAGATATAATAAGTTAACGAAACAAGTGAGGTGAAGGACACATTACCCAAAAGATGAACCGACAAAAGCCGGTCAGGGGCGGGGGTCAAGATATCCAGCTGACGGAAAGTTTCGAAGAACGACGCCGACATTGTCCATAACAGGGCCACCGGAATATTCCTAAGGTTCGCCACGGCGGCTGGCCACGCCAACTCAGCATCAGAGACGATAGCAGTAACCGGCGGCTGAAGCTGATCGAGAAGCTGCTCGAACGCAGGTCTCATCTCGGTGGCAACGGCTCCGGTGAAAGAAGCATTATCGTCAAGGATGTGGGCATCCAAGGGGATGACGTTGGGAATGGTGGCGAAACGAATGGTGCGTGGCTTGGGTTAAGATTGGATGAAGCCGAGCCACTCTTGGGTGACGACGAAGGTGATGAGAACGTCAGTGGGTCGTCTTGAAGAGAGAAATTTGCAGAGGTGGATCAAGGGGTTGACGTGGCCTCGGGTGGGGAAAGGCAGGGCCACCACATGGCCCTTGAAAGAGGGTGGAAGCTCCATGGACATATAGTCAGACTCACAGCAGCTTGGTAATATGTTGAAATGGCAGGATGTGGATGTAGATCTGAGATGAGCGTGAGACAATACATACAGGTGATGGGGAAGCAGACGTTGACCGAGGCGATATGGCATGGGGATTGGAGGGATCAGGACAGCATCGTTCTCCGATAAAATAAGCTGATAAATCCAATTAAGCTGTCCACTCACCATTGACCTTAAAAAAACATCTAATTAATTCCCCAACATGGAAATGGTACATATGGTCCAGCCGCGTTAACATTCGAGTTTGTGATGCGGCTCAATTTGGATAATACTACCTCCACTATAAGATCTTATTTAATTTTTATTTTGATGATAAATATAAGACTCTAATCCATTTTATTTTTAATATTTATGCATCTTTTTTTCAAGACAGTCCTTCTAACAATAGTAGTTCTAGCTAATACACTTGATTAGCAAGGATATTTTAGGAAAGACAACACTTATTTATAACAAATAACTAATTTAACTTCTTTCCTTAATCTCTTTAAATTAGTCAACTAGCTCTTCTAATTAGGACCGGAGGTAGGAGGTAATAACTAATGACCCTGAAACCCCAAGAGTGGAAGGCAGCAATGGGGTTCAGAAGTCTGGGATGGAATGGATATTTGTCATTAGGGTTTTCGTGTTTAAATTAAATTCACATTGTCAAGAGTACATGGTAGATCATGGGAGCAATAACTATTTAATAACACGAATAGAATTATTATTGTTGTTAATGATGAGCTTGCATTTTTTTTTTAATGAAATAGTCCATTGTATTTTATTAAAACAGAGAAGCATACTATAGACAAAGAGTTGATAGCACCGCACACTACGAGTCAATTCATAAAAAAGTTCACGAGATGTAACAAAGCAAACCCAGGCACAACTACTACAATCATCTAAACAACAACTGAATTTAAGGCTCAGATTTTTTTTTTAATATATAAAGGTCTCAGATAATTTTAGTAATAATAGGATACAATAGACAATAGTCAGCTTTCAGTAGCAATCATGATTACATAAAATGACTTTTTTCAACACCTTAAAGCATTTTTTTTTTGTGTGCAAATAACTGTGCCATCATTAGCCTCTTTTTTCCCTTGCGAATTCACCCAGTGTTTTATTCCTAAATTCATTTGACTACTCGAGAAGAATATGGCTGTTTTGATATATGTTGATTTTACAACAATTTGAACCGAAAAAAGACGTACAAGTGATAGTAATAATAAAATAATTTAAAAAACATGCTTTCGTATTGGTAAAGAATGGGAGCTTGTTTTGGAATGGTGATTCAAGTCATTAAAAATAATTTTCTTAACCACAATTTACAATGTAAAAAATAAGTATGTGAAATTTTTTTTATTTATTTCTGTAAATATGCTCATGGTAAGCATGTATAGCAGATATGCAGAAATACTATTTTCAGTTCTAATTATAAGAGCTAATTGACTAATTTGAGGAGATTAAGAAAATAGATTGAGTTAGTTATTTCTAATAAATAGTTATTATCTTTCGTAAAATATCCTTGTTAATAAAATATATTGGCTAGAACTACCATTGTGAGAAAGACTATTTGGAAAAAAATAAATAAATATAAGAGACAAAATGGATTAAGGTCTTATATTTAGGATCAAAATAAAAATCAAATAAGATCTTATATTAAGAACCGTAGGTAGTATAAATTTTTTAAAAAAAAAACACAAACATTGATGTATGAAGTAATATTATAAGAACAAAGTCTAAAGCAAATGCAAATTTAATCCCAATTGTTCATTTGTTCTGTTAAAAGCTTAAAAGGTTTTCTACGATATATTAATATATATTATAGTTTACCAGCAATTTTTGACTATATACAGGTAAAATTAAATAACGATCAAATTCTAGATTTACAAGTTTCATAGATGCTTAAAATTAAAGTTCAAATGGATTGAGTGTTACTGCTTCACGCTAAATTGACATCCATATACGGATGCCAAGCTTTTTAATGCGCTTTTTAGGTAATAATTTTTCATCATTGATTTGCATTCGTTTATAGATAAAAGCTAACAAGTCCCGGATGAGACTTTCTCGTAGCGCTTTCCCGTTGCAATTTTTATATCAAGACTGGTTGACATGAACGTCAAAATACACATCTTTATCCCTCGACGATGTCTCCACAAAGGCATTCATATTCATGTCAGACGAACACGAACCTCCTCTGGCAATCGCTCCGCGAAATAACGCCTTCAGATCTTTTGCTCTCTCTTTAATCTTCTTCCATTCCTCGTTCTCCACATCCGCCACCATCTTAGCCACTTCCAATATTTCTTCTTCAGTTACCAAATCCTCTGATCTATCACCACCCACCTTCCTCCCATTCTTCCACACTTCTGCAGTTCGAGAACTGATCCAAAAACACAGGGAATCCCAGTATTGGCACACCTGCGAAGCATGCTTCCAGAATGGAATTCCACCCACAATGGCTCCAAAATCCGGCAATGGAAGCATGGCACAACACCTTTAACTGGTCACACCATGGCACCACCAGACCATTATCTCCACATTTCTCTTTCAGCCACTCTGCATCTGAACGACCCACCCACAGAAAACGAATCTCACAGGTTTTCAGAGCTGCAGCAAGCTCTTCCATCTGGGGACGAGACATGGAAAACGAACTACCCTTAGAAATGTACAGTACTGACAAATTTGGCTGACAATCTAGCCATGTTGTTATATGGTCAACGTTACTGGCGGATGAATCGAGCTCCATAAAAGGTATGGCAGGGCCTATGGGATAGACACGAAAGGGGAGTATAGCTTTTAGATAATTTATTCGTTCGGCCTCTAGCTCTTGGATGGTATTGAGGAGGAGACAATCAGTTTTGCCCAATCCTGGCGTGAAATTCAGGGCAATCTTCAAAAAATGGAGATCGCTTTCACGAAGTAGCTTTTGCAGATCAGTGAGCTGTGAGGGAGAAGTACCTTAATGTGCTGAGCTCGCTCATCTGAACCAATAACTCGTTATCGATGAAGTCAAGAGCCTCAATATTCCTAAACTACTGTTCAGCTGAAAAATTAAACGTCACAGGATATAATAATTGATGGCAACAATAACGGTTTTTGCGTTAAAAAATACTGTAACTTCTAATAAAACTAGCAAGGTGTAGGCAGGGTAGGATACATTGCCCAAAAGATGAACCGACAAAAGATGGTCAGGTGCGGGGCCAAGATATCCAACTGACGGAAAGTTTCAAAGAACGACGCCGACATGGTCCACAACAGAGCCACCGGAACATTCCTAAGGTTTGTGGCCAGCTGAGCATCAGAGACGATCGCAGTAACCGGCGGATGAAGCTGATCGAGAAGCTGCTCGAGCGCAGGTCTCATCTTGGTGGCGACGGCTTCGGTGAAAGAAGGAACATCGTCGAGGATTTGGGCGTCCAAGGGGATGACGTTGGGGATGGTGGCGAAGCGGATAGTGTGGGGCTTAGGATAGGATTGGATGAAGCCGAGCCACTCTTGGGTGACGACAAGGGTAATGATAACATCGCAGGGCCGTCTCGAAGCGAGAAATTTGCAGAGATGGATTAAGGGATTGACGTGCCCTCTGGTGGGGAAAGGCAGGGCCACCACATGCCCCTTGAAGGACGGTGGAAGCTCCATGGACATGGCCACAGGCTCACGGCAACCAGGGAAGCTTGGGGGTTTCTCTGTTGAAATTCTAGATCTCAGGTGAGGGAAAGCAGACGTTGACCAAGGATATGGCTTTTCTACAACGCCGTTGAAGATTGGCCGTCGTAATGAAGGGACCAAGAGCAGCATTCCTGGATCAAAGAAATCCAAATTCCAAGCTGTCTTTTCTCCGTTTTGCCCCAAATCATCGAATTTTAAAATTTTAAATTAATATTAGTTACTATACTGGTTAAAAAAAAATCATATTAGAAAGACAAATAACAACATATTTTTTAGTAATTTTTTATTCAGAAATTTAAAATTTAACAGTTATTTTTTTTTGATATTTTTCTTAAATATTTAACAGTATAAATGGACATTATTGTTGTTGTCAATAAGTTTCCATAATGATTCTCTTATTTCAACACTCGCAAGCATTCCTCTTTATATAAATAACTCTACATGTTCATTCAACGAACTCAAAAATCCATTCCCCTCCCCCTTTTGTGAATTTACCCGATGCTTTATTCCCTGCATTCATTTGCACGCTAGAGAAGAGTGTGGTTGTTTTTTATATTATGTTGATTTTCTTTCAATGTTATATATATATATATATATATATATGTGTATATATTATTAGAACTAACAATACCACTACAAATAATAGAGGGTCTTACTACTCAGGGGAAAGAATAAGAATATGCAAAAGGAAGAGACATTAAAATGATAGTAATAATACAAGCGTGCATATACGTATTAGTGGAGAATGAGTTTGCCTGTCTTAATCAAAACAACAGATGAAATAAAAATATGTGATATATGTACAGTAGACATGCAAAAATATAAAATGATGAAAACAAAATAAACGAAGTATGAAGTGATATATAATACTAAATATTAAGACAGTCAATATACATCGTACACATATACATATATAGATGAGATAGATATATATTCCTCTTGTTCTAAATATAAGACCTATTTTACAGTGCAAATTACACTACAAAATGAATCTTATATTTAAGATCAGAAGAGTATAACATTAAAGAAATGGTGGGGACAATTAACCCTTCCACGCTTCATGGTCAGCAGCTAGGTTTGTAAGGTGGGAGTTATATTACACGTGTCTTTATATAACTGAGAGATTATAGAAGCTATGAAAGATAAATACATACTTGCACCTCACTCCGCTTTTATCATAGACTATTTGAGCATACAAGTTTTCTCCTTAATTATTACTCCCTCCGTTCTTTATTATAAGAGACGAATAACCGAATTACGTTGATAAAAAAAACAGTTAAAATTAGTTAAAAACAATTAATATGTAAAAAGTATAACTTTTTTTCCAAAAATATCCTCATTAATAAGGAGAGAGAGCATGAGAGAGAACAATGGTAAATTATTAAAAGAAAGAGAAGTGGGAATGAGCCAAGGAAAAAAAACCGGACCGTACTGGCCGGTTCAACCGGAAAACCGGTGAACCGGTCTGCAGTCCGGTCTGGTTTAATTGGTAAACCGGTAATCAATCGAACCAGTGAAAAACCGGTTCAACCGGTGGTAACCGGTATAGAACCGGGTTATCCCCGGTTGGCTGGGTTACCGGTTCTTCTTTGTTTTTTTTTTTTTTGCTTCCACTATTCCCATGTCGAGCATCGTCGACCAGCTTCATCAAGTAATCTGACAATAGAAGAAATGACACGTCCACCCACAAGAAGTAGCACTCATATCTCAACTCTGATGAGATCAAATTCGATGACGACGACCCATCGAATACATTTATCTGGGGGTCGAATCGGTCCGCAAGCAGAGCGTGAACGAGTTCGACCCACCAACGACGATGGGAATCTCCCTCCTGGAAGTAATGTCGGAGATGACAGAGCCAAGGCGCAAGCAAAAATCTAAAGGCATGAACTCTCCGTTTTGTGGGTCGACATCGCCGAGGAGATGATGAGGGACGCCTTTGCGCTTGTCAAAGGGGATCTTGCAAATCAATACGACAAAGATGCTAAGCTATTAAATGGGACCCACAAGTCTCATGTTCATTCAGCCCGTGAGGTAATTTTGTGGCTTCTTATTTTTTTTAGTAATTATTATTTACGAATTTTGTTTTATTTTAATATTGTGAATTAAATTATATTATTTTAATATGACCGGTCCGACCCCGGTCTGACCTCGGTCCGACCAGTAACCCTTAACCCACTATCTCGACCGGTTTAATTCCCAGTCCGGTTTTTTGTTCCTTGCCGAATGAGAGAGAGTGTTAGTTGGAGACAATAAATATGGGTAAAATAGGAAATTAACACAAACAAGTAGAGACAACTTTTAAGTGTCTCTTATATATAGGAACATGCCATAAGCATCAAATGTCTCTTATAATAAGAAACGGAAAGAGTATTATTATTTGACCTGGATATCCTTATTATTAATATCTACAAATACATGTTTTCTTTCTCTGTTATCTTAAACACCCAGAATGTCTTGCACAAAAGCATGGAGGTTCAAGTGGAGGGAAGAGGAACCAATTTCGAACAACGCCTTCAGTTGTTTTGCCCTGTCTCTTATTTTCTTCCCTTCTTTGTTCCCATGGTCCATCACCTTCTTAACCACATTCAATATTTCTTCTTTCGTCACAAAGTCCTCTGATCTTTCACCACCCACCATCCATCCATTCTTCCACTCTTCTGCAATAAGCCTGCAGTTCGAGAATTGATCCAGAAATATAGGAAATCCCAGTATTGGGACACCAGCAAAGCAAGCTTCCAGAATTGAATTCCATCCACAATGGCTCCAAAATCCGGCAATCGAATCATGGCACAAAACTTTTAACTGGTCACACCATGCCACCACCAGACCCCTGTCCCCGCATTTCTCTTTCAGCCACTCTGAATCTGAACGACAAGCCCACAGGAAACGAATCCCACTGGTTTTCAAAGCAGAAGCAAGTTCTTCCATTTGGGGACGAGACATCGAGAGGAAACTGCCCACAGAAATGTAAATCACTGACAAATTTGGCTGTGAATCTAACCACTTCGTTATGTGGTCAAAGTTGGTCGTTGATGAATCTTTGGGTGGTTCAAGTTCCAGAAACGGTATGGCAGGGCCCATAGGATAGACATGAAAGCGGAATTTAGCTTTTAGATGATTTATATGCTCAGCTTCTAGCTCTTGAACCGTGTTGAGAAGGAGATAATCCGTTTTGGCTATTTCTGGGATGCAATCCAAGCCAATATTCAAAACTTTGGGATCCAGTTCTCGAAGCAGCTTTCGAATATCAGTGAGTTGTGAGGAAGTGATTCCCAGAACGTGCTCGGCTTCCTCATCTGTATCACCGACTCGTAATCAATCAACTTAAAAAGCTTAGACTCCTACTGTTTTGTTAAACATCACAAATCACAAAAATATTAGTATATCATAGTTCATGACGACACAACGCATTTCTACAGAATACTAAAATAGTAAATATGTAAATAACTCTTAAAATAATGAAACAAGTGTCGTGTGGGATACGTTACCCAGAAGATCAGCCGCCGAACTCCGGCCAGGGGCCAAGACATCCAGCTGGAGATACGTGCCGAAGAATGACGCTGACATCGTCCACAACAGAGCCACCGGTATGTTCCTCCGTTTTGCCACGGCGGTTGGCCACACCAACTCAACATCAGCAACGATAGCAGTAACCGGCAGGTCAAGCTGATCGAGTAGCTGCTCGAACGCATCTCTCATCTTTGTCACGATGGCTTTGGAGAAGCGAAATATATCGTCGAGTATCTGGTTCTCCAAAGGGATGACGTTGGGGATGGTGGCGTAGCGAATGTTATGTGGCTTGGTGTACGATTCGATGTAGCCATGCCACTCTTCAGTGACGACGAAGGTGATGATGACATTGGCGGCTCTTGAAGCCAGAAATTTGCAGAGGTTCATCATGGGGTTGACGTGGCCTCTGGTCGGGAAAGGCACGGCCACCACATGCCCCTTCAAGCGCGGCGGAGCTTCCATGGATATATCCATAGCAACTAGCGAAGCTCGGGTTTACTCAATTTATTGACATCCTGAATGACAATGAAACAGTGTATATATAAGAAAAGCTGAGGTTGGTTTTCCACGAAGTCATCGGACAGCATGATTATATTGCCGTCCTTAATCAATCTTCTTAATATAATTGTCGCTGACCATCGCTAATGTTTTTATACTGATGGGCAAACTTGAATGATCTTTTAATGTTAGAAATACAATGCATTAGTTACGTCATTAGCTGGTTATTTATCCTTTTGTCACAAAGATGGATCTCAAATAGATATGGATAATATAATGATCCGAACAGAAACTGTAAAAGAAAAGGGAAGAGAATCAATTCAGATCTCCAAGAACATTATTTATATATGTTTATATTGACTTTGTTTCCATTGAAGATATTGATTTCCAATTGTGACACATAAAAGATTACAGTCAATTTTTGTTATTGGGTAAGAAGCATCTTTTTAAAGTTTCAATAACCAGCTGACCACCATTCATTTTAAAAGTATCTGATTTTTTAAGGATATTGTACCCCCAATAAATCTCATTTCATGAAGTGAAGTGGAATGTCGTAATCTCAAAGTATTATTGTAGCTTATCAATAACGCAACTAAAATTTTCCATATAAGTTATTAGCTAAGAAATCTTGCTTAATAACTTTATTAAATTTATATAAATATTAAACATAATTAAACAAAAATTTATAACTTTATTATCTAACTTGTCCAATTTTTTCACCACAAAAATTACAACTGAAAAAAAAAACTTTGATGTACCCATTTTTTCAAACATGACTTAAATGCATACATAAAATAGTCTGGCGCGTCATGACCACATCAAGTCTTGACTTCGAATATTGATCAAACATATATATTTTTTTAAAGAAAATATATGCTTAACGGAGCCGATAATATTGAGTTGATAACTAATGTGGCTAAAATTGCAATTTAAATAATATTACCTCATGTCCTTAATTTAAGAGCTAATTTGATTTTTAATTTGGTTCTAAATATAAGATCCTAATTCACTTTTTTTTTATATTTATTTTTTAAAAAAGTAGTTCATATAGTAATTGTATATGTTAAAGATTCTATCAAATCGTAATTTTAATTAATGCATATTATTAGTAAAAATATTTTAAAAAATACATATTAATTATAAATAACTAATTTAACTAATTTTTAAAAATAGTTAACTAAATTTTTTATTAAGTATTATATTTTTTTCTTTCTTGCCATTGCCTTGATATTATGACTGGACTAATCCCAATCTTTCGCGGAGCCAAATAGATTGGACGACCCCTTTGATTTGACCGAGAGGTACAAGCGGCGAACATTCCATTGTACTCCTCGTCTCAGGTTATAATTTTTCAGTCTCATCAATAATAATTTCGCATTCATTTATTTATAAACAAAGTTCACCATATAAATTTCCCTCTAAATTAATACTCGTATAAGCTATCGCGCACGAGAATTTCCAGGTCATTTTTCGGTGCTTACTGCTTCGTTTTCTTCCAATAGTGAGATCACTGAACCATATGAACAGTAAGTAGTAAATGTGAGCTGGTTGTGTCACTTTTAGTTAGCTAACATTACGATAATCCGTTAAAGTGGTGAAGCCTCTATATACTTCACAATACTCAGCCTCTCACTAAAAATGCAGTTGCAGACACAGCGTATGTATATGTTTTGGGCCAAATGCATGTATAAGATATTGGATTACAAAGAGACAGCAATAATACAAATCTTCATGCCATTTGCCAGACATATCCATATCGTACGTTTTTCTCATTGATTTTCCCATTTCGCAACATTTATTAAATGATTAGACGAGAAGACGCTAAGCGTAAGAATTAATTAAGAAGTGGGCCAGTGGTTAGCACGAACGGAGGCAGGGGAGCCCCCCACAATGTCTTCCACAAAAGCATACAGGTTCTTCTCAAGGGAACCACCTTTGGCAGTGGATCGCCCACAAAGGATCTTAACTTGTCTTGCCTTGTCTCTTATTTCCTTCCCCTCTTCACTTTCCACGTCCATCATCATCTTAATCAATTCCAGTATCTTTTCTTTCCTCAAATATTCCTCTGATATCTCATCACTCACCTTCCACCCATTCTTCCATCCTTCCACGATTTGCCTGCAATTCGAGAACTGATCCAGAAAAAATGGAAATCCCAGAATTGGCACACCAGCAAAGCAAGCTTCCACAGTTGAATTCCATCCACCATGGCTCCAAAAGGCCGCTATAGAACTGTGCCACAACACCTTCAACTGGTCACACCATGGCACCACCAAACCCTTATCCCCACATTTCTCTTTCAGCCACTCTGCATCTGAACGACACGCCCACAGAAAACGGACGCCACTGGTTTTTAAAGCGGAAGCAAGTTCTTCCGCCTGGGGGCGAGACATTGAAAACAGACTACCCATAGAGATGTACAATACTGACATATTTGGCTGAGAATCTAACCACTTTAAAATATGGTCAAGCTCGGTCGCTGTCGCCGATGAATCACTCGGTGATCCGAGTTCTGTAAAGGGTATGGCAGGGCCAATAGGATAGACACGAAAGTTGAATTTAGCTTTGAGATAATTTATCTGTTCAGCTTCCAGCTCTTGGATCGTATTGATGAGGAGATAATCTGTTTTGGCTGCCGCTGGCATGCAATCCAAGGCCCTCTTAAAAAGTTCCAGATCCCTTTCGTGAACGAGCTTTCGAAGATGAATGGGTTGTGAGGAAGCGGTTCCCTGAATATAATCAGCTTGCTCATCTGCATCACTAACTCGTTATCGATCAAATCAAAAGCTTCAAGTCCCGAGCTATTGCTTAACTAAATATCACAGACCCAAAATATAATAGTAATAATGATAATAATTCTCGATGACAATAACATGCTTATTTTTAATGAAACAAGTGCCGTGTAGAATATACATTACCCAAAAGATCAACGGTCAGACGCCGGTCAGGGGCGGGGGCCAAGATATCCAGCTGACGGTACGTGCAGAAGAACGATGCCGACATAGTCCATAACAAAGCCACCGGAATATCCCTCTGGCTTGCCACGGCGGTCGGCCACTTCAATTCAACATCAGAGAGGAGGACAGTCGGCGGCGGCTCAAGTCGATCGAGTAGCTGCTCAAATGCGGCCCTCATCCCTGTCATGATTGATCGAGAGAAGAGAAGCATATCGTCGAGTATCTTGCTCTCCGAAGGGACAACGTTGGGGATGGTGGCGAAGCGAATAGTGTGTGGCTTGGGGTAAGATTCGATGCCGCGGAGCCACTCTTCAGTGACGACGAAGGTTATGAAAACATCGGCGGTTCTTGAAGCGAGAAATTTGCAGAGATTCATCATGGGGTTGACGTGGCCTGTGGTGGGGAAAGGCAGGGCCACCACATGCCCCTTGAAGCACGGCGGAGCTTCCATGGACATATCCACAAGAACTAGTTCAGTTCGGGGACGGCGATGAACCAATAAATACAAAAGGCAGAGGTTGACCAAGAACACGGTGTTTCCACGAAATCATTGAGCCGGGACGGACCCAGGTTCACATGGAGCACCATCAATAGCGTCCTTTGCTTTATTTTGTTTTCTTTTTTGGTTTCTTTCATTCTGTTTTTCTATAACATTGATACCTATCATTCATAAAAAACTAAGACATTTTGTTTCTTAAAGAATTATGTGTAGAGAATAACAATTGTATTAACTCTTTTTTTTTTTATAGAAAATTGTCGTTGACCACCGTTTTTTTAATGCAGGTGTGCAGAATTAAATATACAATATAGCGCCCTTTGCTTTATTTTGTTTTTTTGTTTTTGTCTTTCGTCCTGTTTTTCTAAAACATTGATACCTATCATTCATCAAAAACCTAAAACATTTTGTTTCTTAAAGAATTATGTGTAGGGAATAAAAATTGTATTAACTTATTTTTTTAAGAAAATTGTCGTTGACCATCGTTTTTTTTTTATGCAGGTGTGCAAAATTACATATACAGTATTAGAAAATTAATGCGTTTGTTACATTGTTAGGTAATAATTAACTCATTGGTCAAAAGAGATCGATCTGGAATACATATGGATGATATCATGATACCATCTCAAAATGAAAAATAAAAAGAAAAATCCCAAAACATGATTTATTTCAAGCCCTAAAATAGCCAAGATTAATTGGTGCTACGTCTCTTAAGAAATGGTCACTGCTTGGTCAAAGGATCACTTAGCAATATCTTGTAAAAATGCATCGAGGTTCCCATCAGATGACCCGCCTTCTGAAATGGCCTGGACACAGAGACTCCTTGGCTCTCTTGCTCGGTCCCTGATTCGCTTCCTTTCTCCACCCTCAAGATCCATAAACCTCCTCAACAGCTCTGATATTTCTTCTTTTTTCACAATTACTTCGCCAATCTCTGACTCTGATCTCTCTATTTTCCACCCATTCTTCCACTCATTCACTATTTGACTTCCGTTCGGAACCTGATCCAGAAACACAGGAAATGTCAGAAGCGGCACGCCAGCAAACAGGGCTTCAAGAATGGAGTTCCATCCACAGTGGCTCCAAAACCCACCTATGGAAGAATGAGACAACACTTTCAATTGGTCACACCAAGGAACCACCACGCCCTTATCACCACATTTCTCCTGTAACCTTGAAGCTACTCCACGAGCCACCCGGAAGAATGGAACGCCACTTGTGTTCAGTGCTGAAACAATTTCGTCCATTTGCGGGCTAGAAACAGAGAGGAAACTACCCAGAGAAATGTATAGTACCGCTTCAGGTGGCTGAGAATCCAGCCATTTTAGATGCTCAAGGTTGTCATTAGGACCAGATTTAAGTTCCAAGTATGGTATAGTGGGGCCAACAGGGCAGACTGGGAAGGAAAATGTAGCCTTCAGATAATCAATTGTTTCAGGTTCTAGCTCTTGTAGTGTGGTGAGCAGAAGATAACTTGCTTTGGGAACTCTTGATACACAGGCCAATGCAAGCTGAAGAACTCTTTTGTCGTTTTCATGAAGTACTGTTCGTAGATCTGCCATAAGAGCTGAGGAAAGTCCAGGCACGTGCTCTGCTTCATAACAACGCCAAAGCGTGTCATGTATGCACTAGTGAGTAATTTGACTAGACTACGAAGAATTTATGTATTAATTAAACTGTACAGAACAATGTGTATGAGAAGTTCTCAACATCCTTGTTAAGAGCTGATAAGACAGGTTGAAGAAGTAGTTAGGAGACTAATAAGCATTGGAAAGTCGTGGGATGGAATGGGTATTTATCATTAAGGTTTTCGTGTTTAAGTTAAATTCACATTGTCAAGAGCACATGGCAGATGTTGGGAGCAATAAATATCTAATAACATGAATAGAATTGTTATTGTTGTTAATGATGTGTTTGCATATTTTTAAAAAAATGAAATAGTGGATTATATTTCATTAAAACGGAGAAGCATACCATAGACAAATAGTTGATAGCAGCGCAGACTACGAGTCCATTCATAAAAAAGTTCACGAGATGTTACAAACATCTAAACAACAACTGAATCTAAGTACAACTGAATTTAAGTCTCAGATATTTTTTTAAAAAATAAAAGTCTCAGATAATTTTAGTAATAATAGAAATGACTTTTTTCAACACTTCAAAGCATTTTTTTTTTTATAAATAACTGCACGTTCATTAACCTCCTCTTTTCCTTGCGAATTCACCCAATGTTTTTTATATTATAGGACAACTACAAATAATAGAAGATTTTACGACTCAAGGGAAAGAATAAGAATAGGAACAAAAAAAAAAGACATACAACTGATAGTAATAATAAAGGAATTTAAGAAACTTGCTTATGTATTGGTAAAGACTGGGAATCTTGTTTGGAATGGTCATTCAAGACTTTAAAAATAATTTTTTTAATCATAATTTACAGCTACAGAATAAATATGGGAGATAAATCTTGTCCTAATTTACACAAATGTAATTATGATAAGCATGTGCAGCAACTATGCAGAAATATAAAATTAAAAAAACACAAACGTTGACGTAAGAAGTAATGTTATAAGATCAATATCTAACGCAAATGCATATTTAATCTCAATTGTTCATTTGTTCTGTTAAAAGTTTAAAAGCTTTTCTACAATATATTGGGATATATAAAATAGTTTACCAGCAAATTTTGCCTGTATATGTAGAATTAAACAACGATCAAATTCTAGATTTACAAGTTTCATAGATGACTAAAATCAAATTTCAAATGGATTTTTTTTGGGCCTGAACTTCAAATGGATTGATATCCACGTACAGATACCAAGCTTTTTAATGCCCTTTTTAGGTAACCATTTTTCATCATTGATTTGCATTCGTTTATAGATAAAAGCTCTAATAAACTAAGTCCCCGATGAGACTTTCTCGCAGCTGCTTTCCGGTAGCAATTTTTATATCAAGACTAATATTCCTAGTTGACATGAACATCAACCAAAAATGCAATTTTATACAAGAAACAAGATAATTAAGACACCAAAATACACATCTTTATCCCTCGACGCCTAGTATGTCTTCTACAAAGGCGTTCACATTCATGTCAGACGAACCTCCTTTGGCAATCGCTCCGCGGAAAAACGCCTTCAGCTCTTTTGCTTTCTCTCTAATCTTCTTCCATTCCTCGTTCTCCACATCCCCCACCATCTTAACCACTTTCAATATTTCTTCTTCAGTTACCAAATCCTCTGATCTATCACCACCAACCTTCCTCCCATTCTTCCACACTTCTGCAATATGCCTGCAGTTCGAGAACTGATCCAAAAACACAGGGAATCCCAGTATTGGCACACCTGCGAAGCATGCTTCCAGAATGGAATTCCACCCACAATGGCTCCAAAATCCCGCAATGGAAGCATGGCACAACACCTTTAACTGGTCACACCATGGCACCACCAGACCATTATCTCCACATTTCTCTTTCAGCCACCCTGCATCTGAACGACCCACCCACAGAAAACGAATCTCACTGGTTTTCAGAGCTGAAGCAAGCCCTTCCATCTGCGGACGAGACATGGAAAAGGAACTACCCATAGAAATGTACAACACCGACAAATTTGGCTGGGAATCTAGCCACTTAGAAACATGGTCAACGGTATTGGTCGATGAATCGAGTTCCATAAAAGGTATGGCAGGGCCTATGGGATAGACACGAAAGGGGAGTATAGCTTTTAGATAATTTATTTGTTCGGCCTCTAGCTCTTGGATTGAGGAGGAGACAATCAGTTTTGCCCAATCCTGGTATGCAATTCAGGGCAAGCTTCAAAAAATGGAGATCGCTTTCACGAAGTAGCTTTTGCAGATCAGTGAGCTGTGAGGGAGAGAGTGCCTTAATGTGCTGAGCTCGCTCATCTGTACCAATAACTCGTTATTGATGAAGTCAAGAGCCTCAATATTCCTAAACTACTGTTCAGGTGAAAAATCGAACGTCACAGGATATAACAATTGATGGCGACAATAACGATTTGTGTTAAAAACAATACTGTAACTTCTAATAAAACTAGCAAGGTGTAGGCAGGGTAGGATACATTACCCAAAAGATGAACCGACAAAAGACGGTCAGGTGTGGGGGCGAAGATATCCAGCAGACGGAAAGTTTCGAAGAACGACGCCGACATGGTCCACAACAGAGCAACCGGAAGATTCCTAAGGTTTGCCACGGCGGCTGGCCATGCCAACTCAGCATCAGAGACAATAGCAGTAACCGGCGGCTGAAGCTGATCGAGAAGCTGCTCGAACGCAGGTCTCAGCTTGGTGGCGACGGCTTCGGTGAAAGAAGGAACATCGTCGAGGATTTGGGCGTCCAAGGGGATGACGTTGGGGATGGTGGCGAAGCGGATAGTGTGGGGCTTAGGGCAGGATTGGATGAAGCCAAGCCACTCCTGGGTGACGACGAAGGTGATAATAGCATCACAGGGCCGTCTTGAAGCGAGAAATTTGCAGAGGTTGATCAAGGGGTTGACGTGGCCCCTGGTGGGGAAAGGCAGGGCCACCACATGCCCCTTCAAGGACAGTGGAAGCTCCATGGACATGGTCAAAGGCTCACGGCAACTAGGAAAGGGTGGGGGTTTATCTGTTGAAATTCTAGATCTCAGGTGAGTGAATGCAGCCGTTGACCAAGGATATGGCTTTTCTACAACGCCGTCGAAGGTTGTCCCGTCTTTTTTTTTTTTTTTTTTTTAACAAAAAGTAACAGAAAGCAATTTCACATTCTTGCCTTGTTTAATTGTTGAAGTTTTTAGATAGAAATCAAATTATAATTTTAAAAATATTTTTACTGTTTATAAAATAAATATATAAAAAAGTTTATTTTGTTTTATGAAAAAATATTTTTAAAAAATACTTTTGGTCATAGCCAAACACTCCCTGGGCGTCAGTATCTCTGATAGCGAGATTCATGTTGTGAAAGTATAATCCCTCCGGGTAAGATTGGCCCGTCTTAATGAAGGGACCAAGAGCAGCATTCCTGGATTAAAAAGGTCCAAATTCCAAGCTGTCTTTGCTCCGTTTTGGTCGAACTCATCGAATTTCCCGAAATGAAAATGTCCATAGAAGAAATATGGACCTGTGAAGATTCAGTGACGCAGGCGGCCCAATACATGGAATTGAGGATTAAAAGATGTGAAATAAAGGGGCAACACGCGCCTCTTCATCTTGGCCCTATTTAGAGCACTGTTGAGGGCGAAGACGAGAGGAACGAGCAGAGATCGAAGAGCAAGGAGTGTGGCGAGCTTTGTGCGTGATTCTTGGCGGCTGAGAGTGATCAATAGTGACGATTTTGATCCCTTGTGACAGCAGTAAGGACCTGAAGCAGTTTTCTGTGGGTTGCTTTCTTCTCTAATGGAACCGCAACCTGTCCTTTTTTTTTGAGAGATGAGAAATTGGTTTTAACAAAAGCAGTTTTCCATGTGTGGCTAGTTTTTTTTTTTTTTTTTTTTAAAACATAGAGGAGCTATGAAGTTACTTATGGATTAGATCCTGTTTTCATTTAATTAATTATACTTAATATTGATTTTGGTTACTTAATTTTATTTTGACTTATCTATTTAATGTTTGGTCATCATTAAATATGAGTTTCAGCATTGAGATTAGTTTTGACGAAAGAAATTTTAATTAGGTTCTAGGATTCAGTAATATCAAATTAGATTTTTATCCAATTTATGAGTATGATAGAACTATACATAGGAGCCTCATATAATTGATAAAGAGTAAATATGATTTAATTATCTTCTTAAGTATTTGAGTTAGATATAACCTTATTAACTTAAAAGAGGGTTATAAGTAGATCGAAAGACATTTGTAGTTATAAATACTCCAGATTAATTAAATTAATATTGAGAATATTTAGTTAAATAAAAGCAAAAGTCTATAAAATTAGTAAAAGATTAGTGACTACAGGTTGCTTTTAATATCGAATTTTTCTATTTTTACTTTTAATTCTCTATAGCCAATCAATCATAATTCAACTTGCTTAATTTAATTGAAAATAGGAATTTTAGTGCCTAAAAATTATTTTGTCAAATTCTTCGTGAAAATAATATTCTATATTTATTCTTTATTACTCGATCGGCACTTACATTATTCACAATTCGTGTGCATCATATGTATATATTATTAGAACTAACAATACAACTACCAATAATAGAGGATCCTACTACTCGAGGGAAAGAATAAGAATATGAAAAAAGAAGAGACGTTAAATCATACTCTTCCGATCTTTAATATAAGACCCATTTAATTAATTTGATTAGATTAAGAAAGTTAAGTAAGTTAGTTAATGATAAGAAAAGTGACACATTTTTCCTAAACACTATAATTGTCTTTCTTAATACTCTCTCTTTCTTCTTCTACTTGATTATGGTTGACAGTATCCATAAGGATAATTTAAAAAAAATTGATAAATATAAAAAATGAGTTTTATATTTAGAATCAAAACTAATTTAAGAATTTGATTCTATATGAAGGGCATGAGAGCAGCAATAATGCCAGCGTGCACGTATGTGTGAGCAGAGAATGAGCTTGCCTGTCCAGAGCAGATTCATAATCTAACATTAAAGAAATGGTGGGGACAGTAACCCTTCCACGATGCACGGTCAGAAACCAGGCCTGTAAGGTGGGAGTTATATTACACGTGTCTTTATATAATTGGACGGTTATAAAGGATATAAAAGATAAATACATACTTACACCTCCTTGCACTTTTATCCTTATTAGTATCTCCCGTCTTAATTATAAGAATCAGTTGACTAATTTGAAGAGATTAAAGAAGTAAGTTGAATTAGTTATTTATTCTAAATAAGTGTTGTCTTTTCTAAAATATCCTTACTAATCAAGTATATTAACTAGAACTATAATTATTAGAAGGATTATCTTGGAAGAAATTGAGTAAATATGAGAGATAAAGTGGATTGGGATCTTATATTTAGGATCAAAATAAAAATCAAACACGCTCTTATATTAAAAGCGAGGTAGTATTAATATCTACAAATACATGTTTCATTCTCTGTTCCCTTAAACACCCAGAATGTCTTGGACAAAAGCATGGAGGTTCAAGTGGAGGGAAGAGGAACCACCTTCAGCAATCGCTTCGCGAAACAACGCCTTAAGTTGTTTTGCCTTGTCTCTTTTTTTCTTCCCTTCTTTGTCACCAAGGTCCATCACCATCTTAACTACCTTCAATATTTCTTCTTTCGTCACAAAGTCCTCTGACTTCTCACCGCTCACCGTCCATCCATTCTTCCACTCTTCTGCAATAAGCCTGCAGTTCGAGAATTGATCCAGAAATACAGGAAATCCCAGTATTGGGACACCAGCAAAGCAAGCTTCCAGAATTGAATTCCATCCACAATGGCTCCAAAATTCAGCTATCGAATCATGGCACAACACTTTTAACTGGTCACACCATGCCACCACCAGACCCTTCTCCCCACATTTCTCTTTCAGCCACTCTGAATCTGAACGACAAGCCCACAGGAAACGAATCCCACTGGTTTTCAAAGCCGAAGCAAGTTCTTCCATCTGGGGAACGAGACATTGAGAGGAAAGTGCCCACAGAAATGTAAATTACTGACAAATTTGGCTGTGAATCTAACCACTTCGTTATGTGGTCAAAGTTGGTCGTTGAAGAATCTTTGGGCGGTTCAAGTTCCAGAAACGGTATGGCAGGGCCTATAGGATAGACACGAAAGCGGAATTTAACTTTTAGATGATTTATCTGCTCAGCTTCTAGCTCTTGAACCGTGTTGAGGAGGAGATAATCCGTTTTGGCTATTTCTGGGATGCAATCCAAGCCAATATTCAAAACTTTGGGATCCAGTTCTTGAAGCAGCTTTCGAATACCAGTGAGTTATGAGGAAGTGATTCCCAGAATGTGCTCGGCTTCCTTATCTGTATCACCGACTCGTGATCAATCAACTTAAAAAGCTTAAACTCCTACTGTTTTGTTAAACATCACAAATCACAAAAATATTAGTATATCATAGTTCATGACGACACAACGCATTTCTACAGAGTATTAAATAGTAAATATGTAAATAACTCTTAAAATAATGAAACAACTGTCGTGTGGGAGACGCTACCCAGAAGATCAGCCGCCGAACTCCGGCCAGGGACCAAGACATCCAGCTGGAGATACGTGCAGAAGAATGACGCTGACATCGTCCACAACAGAGCCACCGGTATGTTCCTCCGTTTTGCCACGGCGGTTGGCCACACCAACTCAACATCAGCAACGATAGCAGTAACCGGCATCTCAAGCTGATCAAGTAGCTGCTCGAACGCATCTCTCATCTTCGTCACGATGGCTTCGGAGAAGCGAAATATATCGTCGAGTATCTGGTTCTCCAGAGGGATGACGTTGGGTTTACTCAATTTATTGACATCCCGAACGACGATGAAACAGTGTATACATAAGGAAAGCTGAGGTTGGTTTTCCACGAAGTCATCGGACAGCATGATTATATTGCCGTCCTTAATCAATCTTCTTAATATAATCGTCGCTGACCATCGCTGATGTTGATGGGCAAACTTGAATGATCTTTTAATGTTAGAAATGCAATGCATTAGTTACATCATTAGCTGGTTATTTATCCTTTTGTCACAAACATGGATCTCAAATAGATATGGATAATATAATGATGCGAACAGAAAACGTAAAAGGAAAGGGAAGAGAATCAATTCAGATCTCCAAGAACATTATTTATATATGTTTTTATTGACTTTGTTTCCCATTGAAGATATTGATTTCCAATCGTGATACATAAAAGATTACAGTCAATTTTTGTTATTGGGTAAGAAGCATCTTTTTTAAAATTCAATAACCGGCTAACCACCATTCATTTTAAAAGTATCTAATTTTTTAAGGACATTGTACCCCCAATAAGTCTCATTTCGTTAAGTGAAGCGGAATGTCGTAATCTCACAGTATTATTGTAGCTTATCAATCACGTAACTAAATTTTTCCATATAAATTATTAGCTAAATATAATAAGTACAAGTGGCGAACATTCCAATGTACTCCTCGCCTCAGGTTATAATTTTTCTGTCTCGTCAATAATAATTTCGCATTCATTTATTTATGAACAAAGTTCACCATATAAATTTCCCTATAAATTAAGAAGCTATCGCGCATTCGAATTTCGGTGTTTTCTTCCAATATTGAGATCACTGAACCATATGAATAGTAAGTAGTAAATGTGAGCTAGTTGTGTTACTTTTTGTCAGTTAACATTACAATAATCCGTTAAAAGTGGTGAAGGCAGTTGCATACATAGGATTTGTATATTTTTTCGGCCGAATGCATATATAAGATATTGGATTACGAAGAGACAGCAATAGTACAAATCTTCATGCCATTTGCCAGACATACCCATATCGTACGTTTTTCTCGTTGATTTCCTCACTTCCCAACATTTATTAAATGATTAGACAAGAATTAACTAAGAAGTGGGCCAGTGGTTATCACGAACGGAATCAGGGGAGCCCCCTCCAATGTCTTCCACAAAAGCATCCAGGCTCCTCTCAAGGGAACCACCTTTGGCAATGGATCGCCCAAACAAGATCTTAAATTGTCTTGCCTTGTTTCTTATTTCCTTCCCCTCTTCACTTTCTACGTCCATCATCATCTTAATCAATTCCAGTATCTTTTCTTTCCTCAAATATTCCTCTGATCTCTCATCACTCGCCTTCCACCCATTCTTCCATCCTTCCGCTATTTGCCTGCAATTCGAGAACTGATCCAGAAAAAATGGAAATCCCAGAATTGGCACACCAGCAAAGCAAGCTTCCACAGTTGAATTCCATCCACCATGGCTCCAAAACGCCGCTATAGAACCGTGCCACAAAACCTTCAACTGGTCACACCATGGCACAACCAAACCCTTATCCCCACATTTCTCTTTCAGCCACTCTGCATCTGAACGACACGCCCACAGAAAACGAATGCCACTGGTTTTTAAAGCTGAAGCAAGTTCTTCCATCTCGGGGCGAGACATTGAAAACAGACTACCCATAGAGATGTACAATACTGACATATTTGGCTGAGAATCTAACCACTTCAAAATATGGTCAAGGTCGGTCGCTGTCGCCGATGAATCACTCGGTGATCCAAGTTCTGTAAAGGGTATGGCAGGGCCAATAGGATAGACACGAAAGTTGAATTTAGCTTTTAGATAATTTATCTGTTCAGCTTCTAGCTCCTGGATCGTATTGATGAGGAGATAATCTGTTTTGGCTGCCGCTGGTATGCAATCCAAGGCCCTCTTAAAAAATCCCAGATCCCTTTCGTGAACGAGCTTCCGAAGATGAATGGGTTGTGAGGAAGCGGTTCTCTGAATATACTCAGCTTGCTCATCTGCATCACTAACTCGTTATCGATCAAGTCAAAAGCTTAAAGTCCTAAGCTATTGCTTAACTAAATATCACAGACCCAAAATATAATAGTAATAATGATAATAATTCTCGATGACAATAACATGCTTATTTTTAATGAAACAAGTGCCGTGTAGAATATACATTACCCAAAAGATCAACGGTCAGACGCCGGTCAGGGGCGGGGGCCAAGATATCCAGCTGACGGTACGTGCAGAAGAACGATGCCGACATAGTCCATAACAAAGCCACCGGAATATCCCTCTGGCTTGCCACGGCGGTCGGCCACTTCAATTCAACATCAGAGAGGAGGACAGTCGGCGGCGGCTCAAGTCGATCGAGTAGCTGCTCAAATGCGGCTCTCATCCCTGTCATGATTGATCGAGAGAAGAGAAGCATATCCTCGAGTATTTTGTTCTCCGAAGGGACAACGTTGGGGATGGTGGCGAAGCGAATAGTATGTGGCTTGGGGTAAGATTCGATGCAGCGGAGCCACTCTTCAGTGACGACGAAGGTTATGAAAATATCGGCGGTTCTTGAAGCGAGAAATTTGCAGAGGTTCATCATGGGGTTGACGTGGCCTGTGGTGGGGAAAGGCAGGGCCACCACATGCCCCTTGAAGCACGGCGGGGCTTCCATGGAAACATCTACAAGAACTAGTTCAGTTCGGGGACGGCGATGAACCAATAAATACAAAAGGCGGAGGTTAACCAAGAACACTGCGTTTCCACGAAATCATTGAGCCGGGACGGACCCGGGTTCACATGGAGCACCATCTATAGCGCCCTTTGCTTTATTTTGTTTGTTTTTTTTTTTTTGGTTTTTGTCTTTCATCCTATTTTTCTAAAACATTGATACCTATCATTCATCAAAAACCTAAAACATTTTGTTTCTTAAAGAATTATGTGTAGGGAATAAAAATTGTATTAACTTATTTTTTTGAAAAAAATTGTCGTTGACCATCGTTTTTTTTTATGCAGGTGTGCAAAATTAAATATACAGTATTAGAAAATTAATGCGTTTGTTACATTGTTAGGTAATAATTAACTCATTGGTCAAAAGAGATCGATCTGGAATACATATGGATGATATCATGATACCATCTCAAACTGAAAAATAAAAAGAAAAATCCCAAAACATCATTTATTTCAAGCCCTAAAATAGCCAAGATTAATTGGTGCTACGTCTCTTAAGAAATGGTCACTGCTTGGTCAAAGGATCACTTAGCAATATCTTGTAGAAATGCATCGAGGTTCCCATCAGATGACCCGCCTTCCGAAATGGCCTGGACACACAGACCCTTTAGCTCTCTTGCTCTGTCTCTGATTCGCTTCCTTTCTCTACTTTCACGATCCATAAACCTCCTCACCAGCTCTGATATTTCTTCTTTTTTCACAATTACTTTACCAACCTCTGACTCTGATCTCTCTATTTTCCACCCATTCTTCCACTCATTCACTATTTGACTTCCGTTCGGAACCTGATCCAGAAACAGAGGAAATGTCAGAAGCGGCACGCCAGCAAACAGAGCTTCGAGAATGGAGTTCCATCCACAGTGGCTCCAAAACCCACCTATGGAAGAATGAGACAACACTTTCAATTGGTCACACCAAGGAACCACCATGCCCTTATCACCACACTTCTCCTGTAACCTTGAAGCTTCTCCACGGGCCACCCAGAAGAATGGGACGCCACTTGTGTTCAGTGCTGAAACAATTTCGTCCATTTGGGAGTTAGAAACAGAGAGGAAACTACCCAGAGAAATGTATAGTACCGATTCAGGTGGCTGAGAATCCAGCCATTTTAGATGCTGAAGGTTGTCATTAGGACCAGATTTAAGTTCGAAGTATGGTATAGTGGGGCCAACAGGGCAGACAGGGAAGGAAAATGTAGCCTTCAGATAATCAATTGTTTCAGGTTCTAGCTCTTGTACTGTGGTGAGCAGAAGATAATTTGCTTTGGGAACTCTTGATATACAGTCCAATGCAAGCTGAAGAACTCTTTTGTCGTTTTCATGAAGTACTGTTCGTAGATCTGCCATATGAGCTGAGGAAAGTCCAGGCACATGCTCTGCTTCATAACAACGCCAAAGAGTGTCACGCATGCACTACTGAGTGATTTGACTAGACTATGAAGAATTTATGTATTAATTAAACTGTACAGAACAATGCGTATGAGAACTTCTCAACATCCTTGTTAAGAGCTGATAAGACAGGTTGAAGAAGCAGTAAGGAGACTAATAAGCATTGGAAAGTCGTGCTCTCCATGGAATTAAACTACAGAATAACCTCTCGTGACAAGTATTTATTATGTTGCTCATTGGTTTGAAGCATTTCACTTGATTTGGAATCATTTATTTATTTAATATATAAAACCAGATATAACTTATCAAACAATCTGTTTTCCGAAAGGTGATTTAAGCACGGAGAGAGAGAGAGAGCGTTCCGTTTATTTACCCAGAGGATCAGCTGACAAAGGTCGGTCATGTGCGAAAATCTGCAGGCGATGCAACATAGTGTAAAACGACGCCGACATCGTCCATACGACTGCCACTGGAACGTTCCTCCGGTTACCTACCGCCGTTGGCCACCTTAGCTCAACGTCGCCTATAATGGCCGTCACTGGTGGTTCAAGCTGGTCGAGAAGCTGCTCAAACGGGTCTTCCATCTTCGTCATCACGGCCTCGTAAAATCTCGGAAAGTCGGCCGCTTTCTCCCGCTCCGGCGGGATCACGTCAGGGATTGAGCTGAAGCGGATGTTATCCGGCTTCGGATCGGAGCCGATGTACCCAAGCCACTCTTGGGTGACGACAAAAGTGATGACGATCTCGTCGGGTCTTCTGGATGCTAGTATTTTGCACAAGTTCATCATGGGGTTGATGTGCCCTCGGCCAGGAAACGGCATCGCCACCACATGGCATGAGCTCGTTGGTTTCTTGCCGCCGGAGCTGTGCATAGTGACCGGTGAGTCAGAGGAATGAGTATGGTTTCTTGATTGATGATCCACTGCTTCAGAAAGGCGCATAGATGAAAGCAATTTCTTAAAATAATCTGTCACTTAGTCCACAACGACGGCTTTGTGCGTCTAATTCTGATTAAAATAACACTATAATCAGAATTGAATGAGAGTAGAGGGTGTTTGGTAAGCTTTAAAACTATTTTTTAAAAATATTTTTTTTAAAATGAGACAAATTTTTTTATATATTTCCTTCGTGAACCGTAAAAACACTTCTAGAAACATAGTTTGATTTTGATGCAAATACCTCCTAAAGCGATGTTCTTTTCTGTCTTTATTAATTTGGCTAAGCATTAAGTTTACCATCTGCTTCATTGAAGTTGAATAGGTTAGGAGTTTTCAGATTCTGACGTGGCCACTGAACACGAGTGAATCTCTTCAAAAAAAAGAAAGATAAAGTTGTGAAGGATTAGCAAAATATCTGTTGGACCTTCCTTGGCTGATTTCTACACTGATTGGTAAAATTTGTGATTTTTTTTTCAATTGAATTGTAAGCCTTTTATAGTTTCATTTAAACCTAGTTTTAAAAGCAATTCTGAAAGAACATCGAAATCAAGAACACACTCAAAATGACCTAATTATTCTAACGCATGGGTCGTAGGGATAAGATGTGAATCATCCTGCGGTAAGCCTGTGTACTCTTGATCCAAAAAAGAAAAGGAAAATGATCGAAAAATATTTTTTTAAAATTTAAAAAGATAAATGGGTCATGAATAAATAAAAAGATCAGAGATAAGAATTTGGGATTTGTAAAGTTTGGCAAAAAAACTAAATTGCCACTAAAGTAAAATGAAAAGTGTCAACAGCTTTTGCAAAGTAATTGATAACCTTCATATTGAATTTGACCATTTTCATAATGCGTTTTGTAACCTGTTATTAGCCATTTACAGATTAGGTAAAACTTAAGAGATTGAGTTAAACAAAATTATTAAACATGTAACGTGATTGGGCATTTGCGAAATGAAAGTAACCATTTTTATAATATATTTTGCAACCTATTATTAGTCATTTTCAAACAATTTTATTAAACATTCAGCATGATTGACAACTTGCGAAATGAATTTGACAATTTTCATAACTCATTTTGTAACCTGTTATTAGTCATTTTCAGAAAACTTTACTAAGCATGTAACGTGGTTGATAACTTGCTAAATAAATTTGACTGCTTCCATAACACACTTTGCAATTAGTTATTAGCAATTTCTAGATAATTTTACTAAATATGTAATATGATTGACAATTTGTCAAATGAAATTGACTATCTCCATAACACATTCTACAACTTATTATTAGCCATTTTCAAAACATTTTACTAAAATATGTACCGTGATTGACAAGTTGCCAAATGTATTTAACCATTTTATAACACGTTTTGTAGTATGTTATTAGTCATTTTTAGACTCGTGCAATTTGGGGGGTGTTGAGTTAAACAAATTGACTATACATATAATTTAATTGACAATTTGAAAAATACATTTGACTATCTTCATACTACTAACTCAATTTATCTTCACCATGTATAACTTATTGGGGGAATTGAACAAAGCGTAAATGTTTTGGGAAATTAGTAAATGGTAGGCAAACACACCTGAATGAAGTCCTGAAGTACATCATAGTAAATAGGGAGAATTACAATGAGGTCCCAAGTAATTAAAAAACAAGTCCCAGAGATTGTCATTCTCACTGTAGGACTTGTTATTACAGGCTGCTCAGGTTGTTACTTGGGACTTTGTAGTGATTATTTCTCTTATGTGGGACTTGAATGTAATTCTCCCTAGTAAATATGTTAACAATAACTTTTATGATTTATTCCACTTATAACGGAACTGATCACTAAAGTAAGAGTATTTATCAAAAACCAACAATTTTATGACAGTAATTATATTTTATATATTCAAATGATAAGTTAATATTAAAATTCAACTAATACCTAATATTTTTTGTCATTAAAGTCATAAAACATATTCCATTCATTATACATCATCTACGGAAGGAATAATTTGTTTACCAACTTTTTACTGACAAACCCATCATCACCTTATGATTTTAGATGATGTCAGTCATAAGTAGCAAGGAAACAATGAGAACCACTTCTTCGATATGCATATCATTGAAAATAGAAGATTTTGATATAAAAAAATTGATTGAAAAAAAAGACTTTGATGGAAAAGATGCACTTGTCTATACAATTCCGATAGAAAAATCATTTCAAACTGTCCAAAGACTTTGCAAGCAGCAGGTCTTAAAAATAAAATGCTTGTAACAATAACTACTTTGCTCCTACCATGGCTAAAAGAGAAGAAGGTTTAGTCATGTCCTCCATCCCTCTCTTAAAAAAAAAAAAACCCGCAGTTACTAGTTTAGTTCCCATAGCTTTTTTCAAGTAAATAAAAAATAGAAGTAACAAAATTGAGCTCTCTCTAATTTAACTCGAGAAAAAAATGTATAATAACCGCCCCTCAAAGAAAAAGAGAATTTGAAAGGTGAAAAAAAAGCTCTCTTTTTTATTCTGCAACATGAAAAGAGGGAAGAGAGAGAGAGAGAGAAGGCAAGCACAGAGATAATTTGTCAAAATTTATAAATTCTAGTTTAATACCTATAGATTTATTTTGTTGTTTATGAAATTAGAATTACTAGTTTAAAATTTTTGAATTCAAATAATATTTATGTGGGATTTTTTCAAAAACAAAAAGAACAAAACTTGTTAATTGCGAAATCTGGCAATCAAGTGTACAATTTCTAAGGAAGATTTATTTACAGTAATCAATCAAAACTTGGAACGCAGTTAATCTTGCTAGCTTTATCCATCGATGCCTGCTCCCGGGCTACCTTGAGGGGAACGCACAAGGTCAAAGGCAAAGATGGAGTAAATCCAGCAGGCAACCGTAGTTCCTCTGTTCAGGGCTTCAGGCAACTTCAAAATAATTCTTTATTAGCAGAATTACGGAGACTATCATTTCCCAGAAATAATCAGCAAAAACAATATAAAAAAAATCCTTTATCTTCAAGCCGCGTATACCTCACTGTCAGTCAAAATTTCTTATCCACCAATAGGATGAGGAATAGGAAAATCAATCGAACAATGGGCATCCGAGGTCCAAGCAACCAAGTCGAAGGAGTTTCCTTCCCCAGGAGACCTCGGTACGACCATGATTGATGCGCACTCAACAACAGTAAATGGAGCGTCAAACATGATTTTCCTGCAAATGCCTTTTATTTTCCCTCTAAATTACCAACCCAGCTGAACTTGCTTCGATCTTCTGCATGGTCAAAGCGATTATTGGGTTGACGAGGTTTCTCCTCCAGTACCCTTATCAGGGGAGGTACTTGCTTTTCTCTTGCGGTTGCCTGACTTGGGTGACTGGATTCCAGGGCCAATGTCATCAAGTGCTGATACCTCTCCTTCAAAAGTACTCTGATCAGGTTCAGATGATGACAGACTCTTTATCCTGTGATGATGCTCATCCGCATGATCCTGATGCCTTCCATACAGAACATCCCCATTATCTGATCTATCTGAAGGCTTAGACCAGTTTTGCCTCCAAACCTGCATGTTCTTTTCACTCTGAGCAGCCAGCTCGATTCCATCCTCCAGTTCCCTCTCAATGAGGTCGTCATCATCCATAACTTCTGTTTTCTTAGTTATATGGCCAGATGCTTTCCTTCGTTTCTCTAGAGCAGCCTTTACCTTGCCCCCGTCAATTGTTTTAATTACTTCCTGAGGCGGTCGAGCAAACGTACTGTCTCTATGATCTGGATTTCTGTTAGCGTGTTTAACATTCTCAGCGGCCTCCTTCTTTTCATTTCTCTCAATATTGCTTTCTTGCTCTTCACCATGACCTGATCGAGATCTCAACATTTCTTGAGCTTCTTGCAAGTCTTCCTTGTGCGGCAAGATTTTTCCCTCAAGATGATTATTACCCTTGGCTTCATCTTCTACCGTGTGTTTTATTCCTATGCCTCCATAATCACTGCTTCTGCCATGGTTCGATGCAAGGTGTTCACAAGGATTAGCAGATGACTCCAATCCTGTCTTAGAAGCTCCAGGCTTTGAAGTCTCAAGTCTTGAGCTCATAACTCCACTATAAGAAGTGGTTGCATTTTCACCATTACTGGCAGGAACCTTTGCGGCTGTCCGACTAGCAGCCTTACTTCCTGTAGTTCCTTCAACGTCACTTGGAGGTGGCACTCGGTTTTGTTCATATAGCTCCAGCATTTGATTGCTAACTTCTGCAAAAAGAACATCAATAGAATTGGACCTTTCACAATACCAAAAAGCATAAATGACAAAATAAAAATAAAATCGACCATTAAATTGACTGCATCAGCTCAAACTGCGCTTTCTACAGGTGTATTAGTCCGAGAACAAGATTCTCATTTAACTAAACACTAAAATTCTTGAATACAACCATGATCAAAAGATGGCAAGCAACAAAAGATAAGAGACCAAGGAAAGATGGTAGTACTACTGTTTTTCATTTCTTTATCCCCCTAATGCTTTAAAAAAGGCACCAACCCTCCAATTGCCGAGGGGTAACATCAAATTCTTGCCACCACTCCTTTCCCCATGTGATGGGAGCTTCACCTTGAGGAACTTGGCAGCAAGGAAAATAGCTCCTGCTGCAGTATGATGGGGCTGGAATTGCAGGCAAAGGGACGTCCGAAGCCTGCGTACCACATCCTAATTTCAGGAAAGGAAAATGAAAAGTCATTGAACAAGACAGATGGGGTCATTAACATACCCATCGTTCACAAAATTTCATGCAACTTGAGCAAGGGCATTTTGAGCAACTTTGAATTTCTTGATCTCCTCAACAAGGGGCTTATAGGGATGGTGCAGATTAAAATCAAAACCAAGAGTTTGAAGAACAATCCTCTCTCCCACTAAGATTAGTTCTTTCTGCTTTTCATACACCTCCTGCACCACAATGGGGAAGTAATTTACTTGAATAATTTTAAAATGGGCAATTCAATAATGAAAGAAGAGATTGCCTGATGTGAAAGCACAAGGAAAACTTAAGGGACTTCAAGATAATACCTTCTGCTTGATTCTTTGAGCTGCTACAGGGTCCTTCTTATTTATAATTTCACATGAAACAAGAATTACATATTTCAAAGGGCGAGGAGTTTCTTCAACCTTCCCAGCAAGGAACAGGCACGCTGCTGCCATGACCTGTAGGCCAACTTGTCAATTACCATCATTATTGCAATAAATATTCTATCCCATGTATTCACCTAAAATAAGAAGCAAAAAACATCAAATGCATGAAAAACAAGATTTTGTGACTAAGGACGTGGACATATACAGGACAAGCAACGATATGACCAAAGAACTCACACAGGCGCTGGGTGAAGCCAAAAAAGAAGGATAGGGGCAGAGAGCAGGATTTAAAGAGAACAAGGTGATCTTTGATGCAGAATTTTTACCTAGAACTTCAATTGCAGACAGTAAGAACCGGACAATACATTGTTTTAAACTCATTATAGTAATCGTAAAATTAATAATATTTTTCGTGGTAAGCAAATTAATAATCTAAATAACCCATCCAGAGGTCAAACAAGTGGCAAAGTAATGCCCAAAGCATGAAAAACCAGAACTTCACAAAAGACCATTCGTGTCGTGAGCAATTTTAATACAAATTACAGTCAACCCATTCATATCCTACTCCATTAAATCACATCTGAGTAACGTGCTCCTAAGGTGCAATATCTACCAGTAGATGCAAATAATTAGTTTCGCGTTCCGACGTAGTCCTAGCACATCAAATAGCTAGAAATACTAATAAAGCATGAATAGAAATATGTTTACAAATTACAAATTATAAGCACCAGGTTGTGGAAAGATTTTTTTCCACATGGTATAGCTATGATAGGAACACCAAAATTAATCCAACAAGCACAAAACTCTAAGCACAAGCATACCACAATTCAAAGAGCAACCATGTCACTTCACTTGCCATCTACCCAACACAATTAAAATACTTTCCCTCACATCTTCCTTTTTACCAAGTCCATTTTCAATGTAATAAATGCCGCCTCAAGTCTAAACCGAATCTAATACCCTAGTCTTTAATCCATGAATGCAGAAATATATCTAGTTACATTAACAAAAGATATTTTTATTAAAGTTCACACTGACATAACAGTAACAACATGCAAGTTATTTTATCAAAATAGAGACTCACCCTCCTATCCTTCCTTCCAAGGGAATGACGAAGGAAGAATCGATGGCAAAAAATTATTGCTGTAGCAATGGTTACCTGAGGTCTGCATCATAAAATCAGGGTCAAGTAAAGGGATCAATATCAAGATGAATTTTGTTACAGATCTTCATTACTACTAATTTATTTTTTCACATGATCAGTGATAAACAGGACATAATTCAGCTAATTTATTGACAGCATAAACACATCCTGAATTGCAGATAATTTTAAAACCTAAGTTCTCCCCTCCTCTTGTACAGACAAAAACACTGCTGAGATAGCCCTACCTTCTGCATAATTTAAGCTTCCATTGGACTTTTGGTCACTTTAGACAGCTCATAAAACAGTCAAATCCCTCTAAATTCACAAACAATGGCTTGCCTCTACTCTACTATTCAGTGCACTGGACGCATTAACTTCAAGCAAAACAGAGTGTTGCCAAACTCTTTCTAATTATTAGATTAGAAAGTAAATGCAGTAATTATAAGGGAGAACAGCTAAATTCTTTTAAGCAAGAAAAACATGGTTTGAAATGCCATTTAATAATTCCCAGTCTTGCGCAGTTGCAAAATTTTCTCCTCAATTCTCAGCAATAAAATCTTTTCATATCAATACCAAAAAAAAAAAAAGGTTTGATCAATCATTTATGACCTAAGGGAGAAAAGAAAGAAACTTAGGTATTGTAAATCATAACCTGATTAAACAAGTGCCCAATGCACCTGTGATAGGCAGAACACTATTGTTTGAAAATACAGAAAACTCACACTTTAAGTCTCATGCCTAAATCTTGTAGAAATGTGCAGTATGATTTGCGCAAGTAGGTCTCTTTCTTCCAATCTATGCCATCTCGTTTGGATGGTGAATTTTCTTCAATCTCCTTCCTAGTAAAATACCAACTAGGTCCGTCCTCTGACATCTCAGGGTGTCTCTGAACACCACGTGTTCCATTTTGAGAGACATCACCAGGCAAAAACCCAACCATAACTTCACAGATGACTAAATTTAGTTCAAAATTTTGTAAATGTAATTAGTTCCACAAATGTGATGAATGAAAATTCAGTTGTTCCCTGTCCATTGATTACAATGGTGAGAAAAAAACTTGTCGTGTGCAGCACAAAAACAAAATATCCTAAAGGATGTCAGTTAAACAAAAATCTAGCATACTATGCGTCATAATTCTTTATCTCCTTTTATAAGCGGGCAGTTTTTGATATAAAACTATAGCCGACTAACTTAAAGAATTTTCTCACCATCAAGAGTTCAACGTAATTTGAAAAATGCCAAGTTCACATATGGTCAGTTCTTGGTCGGCCAGTTTTGGTATTGGAGATTGGCAGTCAACCTGCTTAAATAACCATCCGGATATGATCTACTAAAGCCATTATTATTAGTTCCCGACTTCCCGTTAGATGTCCACATCAAAACACTCTCAAGTCTCAACATTAGGAAGTTGTGCAAACACCATCTAATAAAAAGTCCTTTACAAAAGACAAGTTCCCCTTTGAAACAGAATGCCAGTGTTTAAAATTACAACTCCCTCACACCAAGTCCCCCATCGTTCCCATAAAGAACGAGCTCGTGCGCGCCACCAGATAAAAGAAACAATCAAATTGTACCACCAAATCTCTAAGGATTCATTTTCACCCCCAAAAAAAAAAAAAACCCTCCAAGGATTCATAGTAATAATTTCAAGAGGAATGTCCAGTTCATGGGCACCACAAAATAGTAAAATATAACCGGCAATCAAAACCCCAATTTCCCTTCCATTTTTCCATCGAAATATAACTCAGATGCAAAAGCAAATGCACGTGCAATGATAATAATACAAATCTAGAAACATTACCTTACATAGTCCAACAAGAATTTGATTAGAGCGATACGACTTCCAATAGCAAGCACTGGTCCAAAATCTAAGATCAAGAAGGTCCCTTTGCCAGAGAGAGGGGGAGGAATTACTCTGACGAAGCAGAAAATCGAAAAGAGAATCATTATATGCATTGTTAAATTAGGGTTTATAGAAGCGTGGCCAAGGGAAATCAAGTAGATAGAGGATTTTTAATTTTTAAACTATGCGGTTTGCATTCTTTCCGTTTTTCTGGTGCAACGGGGACATAATAATAAAATGGAAAAGTCGTTACTTTAAATATTTTTTCCGGGACAGAAGAGGATATAACTGCTACTATTCATCCCATTACAACGACATTCTCCGATCCACATCAGTAGTCTCAGATAACATACAATCACTTTCCATTCCCAATAGATCATTGATGATTATTCAAAAAATTATTAAACCAGAAAAAAAGAAAATAACTTGATACCACAATCAGTTGTTCTCTGCTTCAAGAACGATTATCATAACAACCAGAGAGTTTAAATGAGCAAATATACTAACGGTAAAATGACGAAGGCTTTTGGTTCCCAACACTAACATGCAGAATTTTACACATGAATGGTTCAAAACTCAAAAGAAAGCTTTTAACCGGGCTGTCCCTTGATCCATCCTCCTCGCCATCGCCCTACCAGCTGTGTCTACCAGGCGCCTTCAACGACGCGAGCGTTTGTTGATCGATGGAGTGAGAACAAGGCCTTAAAAACGAGCACCAATCGGTCATAATATGTGCCAAATGAGGATAGAATTGTATAATTCTTTTCTTCCACGGAACATTATCCGCTTCCACCGGGCCTGGGGAGGAATCTTTTTCAGGGATTTTCCTAATGGCTTCTAAGAATCCTAATTCAAGATCAAGAGTATCAAACATGCTTATACCATGAATGCATTTATCACAGAATCTCATTACATGTTCTGTTTGCTTCCATTGACTCGTCAACAGAGAGAGTTCTTTGAATTGACTAGTCTCTGCAATAAATCTTTGCTGTGTAAAACATCCTTAATAAATGCGTTGAGATCATTTACGGATGTTCCCCCTTCTGCAAATGCTCTTCTACAAACCTCTTGAACTTGTTTTGCTTTTCTCCTCAGCTCATCACATTCCGTACTTTCAGAATTCATAAATCTCCCTATAAGCACTGATATTTCCTCTCTCGTCACAACATTATCAACTCCTGTGCGTTCTCTTCCCCGCCATCCAACTTTCCAATCCTCTACAATTTGCTTACTGTTTGGAGTCTGATCAAAGAATATCGGGAAAGTAAGAATAGGAACACCAGCGAAAGTCGCCTCTAAAACTGAGTTCCAGCCACAATGGGACAAAAATCCCCCCACAGAAGGATGGCACAGAACCTTCAATTGTTCGCACCAAGACACAACAAGCCCTCTTGCTCCAAAATCTTGCTTCCAGTTGTCTCCGCGAGCCACCCACAAGAATCTCACACCACTTTCACGTACACCAGCGACGAGTTCATCCACCTGCTGTCTTGAAACAGAGAGAAAACTCCCTAAAGATATGTACAGAACAGAGCCTCTTGGTTGAGAATTGAGCCATTCTATGTAGTTGGGGTTCTGGCCATCTGTGTCATGGTTGTTATTCATGTCAAAGAATGGGATTGCAGGGCCGATGGAGTAGACCGGCAAAGAATATATGCTTTTAAGAATATCTATGGCTTGGGGTTCGAGGCAGTAGATGGAATTGATAAGGAGATACTGCGCTTGCTTGACTCTTGATATGCATTGCAAGGCAAGCTGCAATACTTTGTTGTCATTTCCGTGGAAAATAGTGGGTAAATCTGATATTCTTGTTGAAGAAACTCCAGGGATATTCTCCACGCGTTCTTCTCCATGCTCTGTGAGCGTCAGTCAAACGATGGCGAATCAATTTGCTGTTGTTAGTATCAAAGTTCTTTAAGTTATGGAGCCTACCTGAAAAATTAATTCCCAGATGCTCATTTTGGCGAAGGAGATGAAAGTGGAGGAACATGGAAAACACCGATGCGGAATTGGTCCATAGAGTAGCCACCGGAATATTCCATCGATTCGCAAGAGGAACAGCCCACTGGAGCTCGGCATCAGCTATAATAATTGTCACGTGCGTCTGAAGATCTTGAAGCAGAACTTCGAAGGGAGCTTCCATTTTTGTCATCACAGCCTCATAAAACCCAGGGAAGTCGGACCCACGGACTAGCTCTGACGGGAGTACGTTGGGAATTGTAGAGATCGTTATGCTGTTGAGCCTAGTTTGATCGGAGCCGATTAAGCCTTGCCACTCTTCTGTGACAACAAAGGTTATAAGAATCTCTTGCTCATTAGGTGCCCTTAGAGAAGCTAGAATTTTGCAGAGATTCATCATCGGATTGACATGTCCTCTTCCTGGATATGGCACCGCCAGCACGTGGCACGCCATAGCTGAATCCTCTTCCCCAGACCCCTAACCTTGATGTTGAGTTTCTTATGGCTTCTAAGTCTGAGGCTGAGTTTGCTTTGTTTAATGGACATTATGTTCTTCATAAATCTCACATCTTTTGAGGAAAATGGATACCAGGTGATAAGATAGTATACTTGGCCAATTTTTTAACTTTTCTTATTGTTCTCTCTCTCTCTTGAGTATTTTGTCAGACGAGTGTATATTTTTAAATAAGAACATGACCAGCTTATGATTTTTTTGTTGGTTTTTTTAATAACAACAATCATTTGCGTAAATGGTCGACTTTCTTTATATCGTTATCAGATCCGTGATAGATTCATGAGGGCCTAGTGCCTTCGCAGTAAAACTTATTGCAGGATGACGCATTTTTTGCCAATTCACTGAAGAAAAAAGAACAAGATAAGAATTATTCAATATTAACTGCAAGAGTTTATACATAAAACTCTTGTCATGAAAATACAGAACCAGTGACTGAAACTGCAAGCTCATCACGTTTATTCGACCCAACCACGCCATCACTAAATCCCTGTAAACTCCATCACCCCCAGTGAAAGTCCCTCAAATTAAAAAAGGATCAAAGATTTAGACTTAGAGAAAGCCCTTGCTCTTCAAACTTTCAACAGCATCAGTGATGATTTGCTCAATGGGGGTGAACTGCATCCCCAGATTGATCAACTTCTTAGAAGCATCCTTGGCTCGGAGAAGACCAGGCTGAGTATCCTTGGGCACTTTAGCGACATTATAGTCAGGGTACAATTCAGCCACCTTTTCCACAAAATCACCGTAGTGACGAATGGCTTCCACGCACAAGTGCCTTCCAGAAGCCTCTTTATTCTCGAAGGCCAAGATGTGAGCCATGGCGACATCCTTAAAGTGCGCCATTCCCATGAAGAAGTCCTCGTATGTCTCAGTGTCCCCTGCATATATCCATCAACAGAGATCGATTGCATTATTACAATTATGATGCGAAAGCGAGTGTGGGAAAGCAGGGAAAGCTAATTAAGGATGAAAACCTTCGAGAACGCCGAGAAGGACAGCCATGCTTGAATTGAGTCTGGGCGGAATGAGAGGGCCTAAGGCGGTGCCCGGATTTATCATAACGACGTCGTACCCTGTCTCCCTCGCAAAATCCCACCCTGCTTTCTCCGCCAGCGTTTTCGCTATCGGATACCATAGCTGCATGCATTTCCCAAGTCAAACAAATCCATGTCTGGACTATTACGTGCGAGTATGACAAACATATCTTTATTTTTCAAAATAATATTTTATTTTTGGAATAATACTTTGTGGAGATGGACGATATTTTCACCCTTTTTGGGGAAAAAAAGGTAACAATTTTTTAAAACAAGGTGAAATTTTTAGAATAAATATAATTTTTTTCCTTTTAAGTACTGTTTTTCACAGAGAAAACTTAAATACAGCCTTTTCATAATTTCAGGATTTTAATAACAAAGTACAAGACATACGATTTAATTTACAATTTTTATGGCCAAAAAATTGAATTTATTTTTTTGGCCATATATTCCTTATGTTTTATGTTCAGTTTTTTTTTGGGACCTTATGTTTCATGTTCAGTTTAACAAAAGCAAATATGAAGAAAATACTGTTCTTTTTTTTTTTGTTTATAATAGGGTATAAATTTTGAATATCTACTCAAATCTCACCTCAAACTTAAAAATTTCATTATATTTTAGCCTACAATTTTTGAAAACAATAATGAAAAACTTAACAACAAAAATATGTTAGCAAAATTATCTTTAAACGTGCGGGTAGCAAATAACTAAGAAAAACCAAGTTTATGTATTATCAACAAAAGAACAGTGAGTTGGGAGAAAAGTCCGAGTGAGAATTAAGAATATAAAACGCTGAAGAAAAAGAGGAAAAAAGAACAAAGAAGAGAGCTCACCCCCTTGCTTCTGCAGTAGTCAAGGTCACACCAACAGTCCTCGTTTTTGATCTTGTCGGAGGGCCAGTCGGGACTCGGAATAATCGCCGATATCGACGACGTCGCCACCACTCTCTCCACCCCTGCTTCTCTCGCCGCCTTCAGCACGCTCACCGTCCCTTTTGTCGCCGGCTCCACTATTTGCTTCTGCACACCCCGAGAAAAAAAATGAACGAGAAAAAAATTGCCACGTCACCAAATATCCCAATAATAAGAACAATCAAAACGAGTATGGAGTCTATATGTAGAGTTAGTATTATTATATCTTGTACCTCTGGATCATGAACCTGACCGATGACGTTAGGACACGCCAGATGGAAGACGCCGGCGCAGCCCTTCACGGCGGCTTTGATGGAGTCTGTGTCCAGAAGATCCATCTCGAACAAACGCAGCCTACTCTTCGCTCCTTCCATCGCCTCCAAATGCTTCGTCTCATTGTCATCCTCTGTGTTCTTACATTATCAATTACTTATACTTCTATTTGTTATCTATGCAGTTCTAATATATGAACCATAACCGAAATTATACTTCAGGGTCATCACTTTCTACGTCTTTCTTATGTATGGATGCGTTTTCAATGGTACGTACGAGTGTGTGAGAGGGATCGCGGGTGGAAAATAAAGAAATGAAGTTTATATATGAAGTGCATAAAATAAAAGAGCGTAACTGAGATTTTGAACGGTGGCGTGGACGGTGTAGCCACGGTCGAGGAGGAGGCGGACGAGCCACGATCCGATGGCGCCGCTGGCTCCGGTGACACAGACAACCTTGGACATGGCGAGAAATGGAAATAACGTACGATAACAACAGTGGAGGAAAGTGGGGGAGCGTAGTGTTTGGTTAATTAATTGATGATGAAGGCTATAGTCGGAAAGGGGTGGGGTATATAAAGGAGGAAAGGGAACCGAGCTGGTCGTGGGGACTGGGACTGATAATTCAACTCAGCCGCAGGGTTACGAAGGCCACATGGTGATGCCTGATAATCACTGTTGGGCCACAGGGGTGGAGGTTGCTTTCGTGATTGCAACACGTATGATGCGCTTTTTTCCTTTTCTTATAACCTTTCTTTTTTGGGTTTTGTACCCAGGAATAGCACCCCATGGCCCATTGTATTTATATTAATTTAAATTGATTAAATTTTTTTATTAAGTTAGTTATTTATAATGAATAAATAATTCTGAAATATTTTTACTAATTATATATATTACGTAAAACCATTATTTGATAAATTTTTTAATACATATAATTATTATAAAATTATTTTAATAAATAAATATAAAAAATAAAATAAATTAAAATTTTATACAAATTAAAAGTTCATCCATGCATTTGTTTTTTTTCCTTATTAATATAAGAAATTGGCGCTATGTGCTCGTGCACTTGTGTCAAGATATACGTGTTTGCATCACAGAAGTTTGGATCCTGCTAAACTCTGACTGTGAAAGCAGAGCCATGTGCGCGTGTGACAGGGCACTATGAGTTGATGATTTTGATGGTGATCACTATTTTCTTGCCGATTTTTTTTTTGACCAGATTTTCTTGCCAATTTGCTCCAGGGTTTTATTAAAAAAGTAATTACTCTTTTGATCTTTAATATAGAATATAATTATTAAATTAATATTAATTTTAAATATAATGTGTTTTTTATTTTTATAAATTTTTAAAAATTATTTCTACAAATATTTTTTAACTATAATTAAATAAGTAAAGAATGAATGATATTGAAAAAAATGATCATGGTGTTTTTTTAAAAATATGTCATATATCTTATGGTTAACTAATTTATTTAACTTCTTTAATTTAATTAAAATAATTAAATAATTTTTATATTAGCTAAAAATTATTAAAAAATCATGCTAGTAATAAGAAATGAATACTTGTTTGTTTATATTAAAATTTGTTATCGAGTAACACTTTTTATAATTATAATTTTATATTAATTTTTTTATTTTTTAGAATTAATATAATATTTAGTTCTCAAAATTTTATTTCATTCTCTAAAATATTTTTTGTTCTTAAAATTTTTTCCTTCTATAAATACTAATTCTTGTCTTTGTAAGTTAAATACACTTTCAAATTTTAAATTTCAAGAAACAAAACTAAATGAAATTAAATTTTAACCAAATATTATGTTAACACTTTTTCTAGCCCAAAAAAAAAACATATCAAGACTCAGAATTACTTCAAAATTCTACCAAAAATTGTTTTTAAATTCAAAAATACATAAAGGTAATAAATTAGGAGCAAATACTACTCCTCTTAAAACCTGCTTGCGGTTGTGAAAATAATGGAAAGTTGAGATCCACGCAATTATGTATTTTTATTTTTTTGTAATAGATTATTTAACTAATTATTTAAAGACAAAAAAAAAAAAAGAGTAAACTGGCGGAGGTGTAATTAAAGGAGCTGCATGTTCCCGAAATGTAATTTGAGGGTTGATAATGACGGGGGAAGGAAGCCTGACGAGAGAAGACTGAAGAGAAAAATATCAGGGAGGGGCGAACGCAGGCCTCATACCAAGGAGAGCCAATGGGAGAGCGACTCGTATTGCCGGGTCCCTCACTGCGGGCGCCAAACCCTGAGATATTCATTCCGACACGTCCCACAATTTCTGAATCCAGTGCGAATCATTCACGAGCGATACTGACAAATACTGTGAAACAGAGGGCCCACCTGGCGTCACGTCTTCCTCCACCTGCCCCTCTCCCTAGCTGCCACGTCGCGCCTTCTTTTGATTTATCTCACGTGTTGGTCCCACACTCCTTTTTCTTGTCCCCCCCTTTCCGTGGGAGAAAGTGGAATCAGTAGAGTTTGAAATAGATTTTGGCTGTCCGTATGTATTGTTACCTACTGTTCTAAAAGTCAGTTGATTAATTTAAAGAGATTAAAAAAATAAATTGAATTAATTATTTATCTTAAATATGTATTATTTTTTTTAAAATATCCTTACTAATCGAGTGTATTGATTAGAATTATCATTGTTAGAAGGGTTATTTTGAAAAAAATATATAAATATGAGAAACAAAATATTGAGGTCTTATATTTAAAACCAAAATAAAATTCAACACCAACATCTGAATCCGTATTTCTTCATTGGTGGTATTTGGTTCAATCGAATCAACAAAATATTGTCTACTACTACATA